TTACATCCAGCTGCAGCTCATTGTCACCAATCAACCAGCAGTTATCTACCCGGGCTGGCCACCTCTCCAGCGCCAGTTCGTTCCTACACCACCTGTGGTAACTTGGCTCCGTACAGCAATCTCAGTTTAGTTGTTACCCTCTCAGCATTATAGTTGTCTCTGCCACATTTGTAACCTGTCTCTCCTTCGACCAGATCCCGTCTGTTCCTGCTGCCTGCCTGCCTGCCACTCCCACGCCGCAACCTGCTCATCTGTTGTCTGATATCCTCGTCATCCAGCTCTCAGTGCTACTGGCTCTCCACCCCACTCAGCTCCTACCCCGGTCTGAAGCTGCTCCACCCTGGACTGTTTCTCTCTGCCAAAACACGCTGAATAAACTACATCTTAATTCACCCTCTTTGTCCGTGTGTCCGTCTCTGCGCCTGAGTCCCCACCAAGCCTAACACGCAAGGCTGCCGTCCCAGACGGCATCCCAAGCCACATCTTCAGAGCATGTGCAGACCAGCTGGCTGGAGTGTTCACAGACATATTCCATCTCTCCATATCCCAGTCGGTTGTCCCTACTTGCTTCAAGATGTCCACCATTGTTCCTGTACCCAAGAAAGCGAAGGTAACTGAACTAAATGACTATCGCCCCGTAGCACTTCTGTCATCATGAAGTGCTTTGAAAGGCTAGTTAAGGATCATATCACCTCCACCTTACTCGACACCCTAGACCCACTACAATTCGCATATCACCCCAACAGATCCACGAACGATGCAATCACCATTGCTCTACACACTGCCCTATCCCACCTGGGCATGAGAAATACCTATGTAAGTATGCTGTTCATCGACTACAGCTCTGTCTTCAACACCATAGTGCCCTTCAAGCTCATCACTAAGCTCGGGGCCCCTGGGTCTGAACCCCTCCCTGTGCAACTGGGTCCTGGACTTCCTGACGGTAGGGAACTCCACCTCCGTCACACTGATCCTCAACACTGGGGCCCCACAGGGGTGGGTGCTCAGCTCTCTCCTGTACTCCCTGTTCACCCATGACTGCACATCTCTAACTCAATCATCAAGTTTGCTGACGACACAACAGTGGTAGGCCTGATTACCAACAACGACGAGACAGCCTACAGGGAGGAGGTGAGAGCCCTGGTGTAGTGGTGCCAGGAAAAGAACCTCTCCCTCAACGTCAACAAAAGGAAGGAGCTGATGGTGCACAAAAGGAGACAGCAGAAAGAGCACGCCTCCATCCACACCGACGGGCCGCAGTGGAGAGGGTCAAAAGTTTCAAGTTCCTCGGTGTGCACATCACTGTCAACCTGAAATGCCACGGGCCCTCAGATCCTCAAAAAGTTATACAGCTTCACCATTGAGAGCATATTGACTGGCTGCATCACTGCTTGGTATGGCAACTGCTTGGCATCCGACCGCAAGGCGCTACAGAGGGTAGTGCGGATGGCCCAGCACATCACTGGGGGCAAGCTCCCTGCCATCCAGAGGAAGGCCCAGAAAATCGTCAAAGACCCCAGCCACCCAAGCCATAGACTGTTCACTCTGCTACTGCACAGCAAGCGGTACCGGAGCACCAAGTCTGGGACCAAAAGGCTCCTGAAAAGCTACCCCCAAGCCATCAGACTGCTGAACAGTTAATCAAATGGCTACCTGGAATTTAATTTACCCTTTTTTTCACTGACTCTATGCACACTCACTGGACTCGACCCAAACACTCACACATACTTATATTGACACTCCAACACACACATGCACACACACACTACATATGCTCACACACACAAAACACACACACACACACACACTTTCACATTCTTCACATTCGCTGCTACTACTCTTTATTATCTATCCTGATTGCCTAGTCACTTTTACCCCTACCTACATGTATATATATATATATATATACTCCTTGTATATAGCCTGGTTTATTGTTATTTATTGTGTTAATATTTTCTTTTTTGTGTGCTGATTTTCTTACTTTTTAACTCTGCATTGTTGGGAAAGGGTTCGTAAACATTTCACGGTAAAGTCTACACCTGTATGGAGGACTAAAAGTGCCACAATTAAATAAATAAATACACCATTAAATAATTACTTAAATGTGTCATTAATTAATTCAAATTAGAATTAAATACATAAATGTGTAATTAAATGTATCATTAATTAATTCAAATACCGATTCATTTTATGTAAAATACATATATAATTATTTCACTATTTACATTTACATTTCATGATCCTGCATTGCAGTGATTCATGAATTACTTAAAACTGTCAAACTGACCCATCAAAGTCAGTGGGCGGGGCTAACGCGAATCTAGTCTGATCCATTGCTTTGGTCTGAAGTAGAGTAGGCCAACCTGGATAGAGACAATGGAGGATCTCCGTGAACTTTCCAGGGAGTTGGTTAGAGACATTTTAAACTTAGCAGAGGATGTAGAAGCAGGACCTGCTGACATTATCCGGAATTGATTTGTCTTGGCTTGATGCAGAGGGTAACCAATCAGGCGTTAGGTTCCGCCTACCAACTTTTGATGGGTCAGTTTGACAGTTTTAAGTAATTCAGGAAGCACTCCAACGCAGGACCATGAAATGTAAATGTAAATAGTGAAATTATTATATATGTATTTTACATAAAATGAATCGGTATTTGAATTAATTAATGACACATTTAATAACACATTTATGTATTTAATTCTAATTTTAATTAATTAATGACACATTTAAGTAATTATTTAATGGTGTATTTATTTATTTAATTGTGGCACTTTTAGTCCTCCATACACCTGTTGTATTCGGCATATGTGACAAATACAATTGTATTTGATTTGAAATGGTCCCTTCACACAGACAGCATGGTGAAGAAGGCACACAGCACCTCTTCCACCTCAGGAGGCTGAAGAAATTAGGCTTGGCCCCTAAGACCCTCACAAACTTCTACAGATGCACCATTGAGAGCATCCTGTCGGGCTGTATCACCGCCTGGTACAGCGATTGCACCGCCCACAACCACAGGGCTTTCCAGAGGCTGGGGAGGTCAGCCCAACGCATCACCAGGGGCACACTGCCTGCCCTCCAGGACATCTACAGCACCTGGTGTCACAGGAAGGCCAAGAAGATAATCAAGGACCTCAGCCACCCGAGCCACGGCCTGTTCACCCCCCTACCATCTAGAAGGCGGGGACAGTACATGTACATCAAAGCTGGAACTACCGTTAGACTCTAGAGCTCTGAAATCCTTGGGCAGCTAGTTTTAGTTTAATCGGATTCAGCATAGCTTGCTAGGATACGATGCTAGAAGGATACAATTAGACACACCACAAGGCAATTTCGCTAACTACTCTCTTTTGAGTCATGCAACACTGTCCCGAATCGTCGCAGTATGAGACGCTAAGCTGACTAGCTGCATCAGCATCAAAACAGATAGCAGTAACCTAGCTAGTAAAGACATGCTAGCTGACGTTGGTTAGCTGATAGCTAGCATAGCTGTACACATGCCGGTCAAATGGAGATGGTTAACAATCTCATCGAAACGTCTTCATCGTAGGGTGATAGCTAGCTACCTGAACCGAAAATGAACTTCTTTGTAACTTACCGTTATCTAGCTAGCTCGCCGGTTAAATATCTATTAGCTGGGGCATGCTATCCCAGCATTTCTCCTTCTAGCCAGTGGGATGGTGCAATGTGCACACTATGCAGAGATGTAAACAAAGGGACTACAGTACAGATGACCGTTAGATAACGAAGTTAGACGGCTGAAACTATTTGACCGATTTGAGGTCGGTTTTTTCCTTTCTGTCTTTCTTCTGTGTTACGCCGTTCCACTCTCAAACTCACGTGACATGTCCCCAACGGTTTAAAATTCGGGAACTGTCCTATTTGGGACAGTGCTGTTCTTCTCACACACGGGTAATTGCGTTGTATAACAAGAGGGCATGTGTAATAAGCATGTAACAGACAACACACAATGAGAGCGGATTGGATTATTTGAATGTTTATTGATTGATGATCCAAAAACAAACAAAGTCTTCACCTAGCAAAAGATGTGTAAAGGAACAATGCATAAAACAGGCATTTCATGAAGAGAGAAATAATATAGGATAAGTAAAACAGTAAAATGGAACAGAGGGTTTAAAAAAAATACAAATATTATCAATAGCATCACTTACCAACGAATCACAATCATTCACATTGTACAGGAAACATAATGGATAGTAAAAAAAACACACACAGGGGCAAATGGATGAGGACAAATAGAAGGCCTTGAAATCAACATGAAATTCACAAGCTGTAAAGATCAGGACCACATAATGTTATGATATGAATCAAAATAAAGTGGCACTGAGCTTCAAATATATCTATCTACAACAACAATGTTCACTCTGAAGTTACCTCTGTGTTTGTGCTGCCTTGTGTGTGTGTGTGGTATGGGTGGTCTTACAAGGTACTATATACACATTGATGAAAGGACATGGTCTACAATATGCTTACATGGCTCTTGGTGTGATTCAGTCCATGTATGTGTCCCGAATGGCACCCTATTCCCTTTATAGTGTACAACCTTTGACCATGGCCCATAGGGCTCTGGTCAAAAGTAGTGCAGCACTATATAGGGAATAGGGTGCCATTCGGGACACACAACATGGCTCTTCGTATAGTATGGGTCATATACAGTAGGATTGTTGTATGACATATTTTGGGTATCCAAACTGGAATCCAAATTGATACACTCGGTTTCACCATTGTTAATGGAGCATATCAGTTAAAAATCCATTCTAACATTCTAGCCTAAGATTATTATCCAATCAGGCTGCATTTCCCTTCTGATCAACTGCTGCAGAATCTGTGTGTGTCCCAGATGGCATCCTATTCCCTAGGGTGCCATTTGGGACACAACCAAAGTCTCTTCCCATGCATACATCATCAGTGTGACCTCAAAGAGGTCAGCCAATCAGAGCCATCCATCTCTCTGCTCATATGACCTTTGATCCCAGTTGTTACAGGCTGTAGAACTTGAGGCTCCTGTCCATTCCGGTGGAAGTGAGGAACTGGGCGTGCTCCCCAAACGCCACGCCAGTCACCACCCCAGTGTGTTCTGGGTAAAGAAAAACAAAACAATAACAGGCAAAAATGTTAGACTTGAAATCAACTCAAAAGCATGAGTTGACACACCTAATAAAGTTGGGGAGGTGCTGATAAACAGAATCGTAAACTTCACAGATAAAAAAAGAAGATATTTCATAAGGTACTGTATATACACATTTGCTATTATCATCCATCCAGGCAATTTGAAGACCCACCTCTAGACCACTGTTTCTGTCCCAGGCTAACTCAGCACCCCTCGCCACTTCATCTCTAGCAGCACAGCAGTATAACACACACACACACACACTGTGCATTCTCTTACCTGTGAAGTTGAGGACCTCGGACCACTGTTTACAGATGTAGACCCTGATGTCAGTGCCACCCACAGCCAGATACGTCCCACTCTGGTCAAACACCAGGGACTTCACCTGAGGGAGAGGAAAGAGGCTCACATATCATTTATCTAAATGTACAGTGTAATTCAGTACAAGGAGATTACAGTATTCATACAGACCGTTGCTAGCCTGGGTGCCAGTCTATTTCTGCTCTCTTGCAAACTGCTTATGGAATTGTCATGCCAGTGACATAAATGGAGATGGCAAGAGCACAAACCGATGTGGGACCAGGCTAGACTGTAGCATGAATAATCAAATCAAATTGTATTTGTCACATGCGCCGAATACAACAGGTGAACCATAGAGTGAAATGTTTACTTACAAGCCCTTAACCAACAATGCAATTTTAAGAAAGAATACCAACAAAAAAAAATTACAAAAAAAACATTAAATAAATAAAATAATAAGAAATAAAAGTAACAAATAATTAAAGAGCAGCAGTAAAATAACAATAGCGAGGCTATATACAGGGGGTACCGGTACCGAGTCAATGTGCGGGGGCACCGGTTAGTCGAGGTAATTGAGGCAATTAGTACATGTAGGTAGAGTTATTAAAGTGACTATGCATAGATAATAAACAGAGAGTAGCAGCAGCCTAAAAGAGGGGGGGGGGGGGGGCAATACAAATAGTTTCTGAATGTGCAGTGTACAGTCTACAATGACTATGTCTCAAATAGCAGCGTATTTCTTAGATAGTGCACTAGACTCTGGCCAAAAGTAGTGGTGGGAATAGGGGTAATTTCAGATGTAAACTAATTTCTGCTCTTCTTACCTCATAGTTGTTGTCCAGGGTGATGGTCTTGAAGTTCTTCAGCTTCCTCAGATCCCAGAGCTTCACTGAGCTGTCCTGGGCACCTGGAGACAAGAGAGAGGAGGTGAGGTGAGCAGTGCCTAAAATCTACTTTTTGGTCCACCAGCCACTGTGTCAAGTAGATAACAAAATCTACCAGCCACTCAGATTTTTTAACCAGCTAAAATATTTTCCCCCGCAATAATTACACCAACAAAACAAAAAAAGCAGATGAGCATGCTTTGTAATGTTTCTAAAACAATAAATGTATAACTAGTAAGTAGTGGTATATTGTTTAATTTCATTTCATTTTGTGACCCGAGTCTTTTAACCAAAATATCACAGATGAGACAAAACATTTCACCTGCCCCTTTAAGGGGGGAGGTTACCGTGGTAACGTGACTCAAGTCATGTTTGTGCCAGTGAGATTGAGAGTGACTAGTAGCTGCATTGTCTTCTCTTCCCTAGCAGTTGAAACGCAAACATTAAAAAAACAACCTAGCTTGTGAATAAAACAATGTAAATAGCCAAGAAACACAAGGACAAAGTCTCACTTCAGTAGACTTTCGTTTCAAGTAAATTAGACCAACAGTTATGCCTGTGTGCAGTGCTTCTAAAAATGAATCTTTCAACCCCGCTCTTCACATGCACACAGCCCCAAGCCAGGAGTGTTGCAGCACGAGGTGGGATAGGCTATAGGATTTGTAGTTCTTTGACTTTGTGCGATTAATTTACCAGCTATGAAACAAAAACGGCAGAAATACTTTGAAAACAGCTACTGCAGAATTTATTTTGCTATAGATGTGATCATACTTGACTATTTTTATCCACAAATGCGAGTGAAATGCTCGCACTGTGGAGCCCTGACCACCCGCCAACGTGGCTGGTGAAATGGACATCTTACCCACCAATGCCAGAATCTACCCGCATTTGGCGGGTGTTCATTTTAGGCCCTGGAGGTGAGTAATAATGTCTAACAGTGTGTAACACACAGGAAAAAATACAACTTTTCACACACAGTCACTTACAGACAGTAACAGAGACTTGACACACACAAGCTTGTCTTCTCTCTCACGCGTACGCGTGCTCTCACACACACACAGAGAAAGAGAGAGAGAGTCTTCTCTCACACAGCATTCTCACCTGTAGCCAGGTAGTATCCGTTCTCAGAGAAGGCGATGGAGGTGACGGGGCCGGTGTGACCGGGGAAGTTGGCCACGTTGGTGCGCTCCTTCAGGTCCCAGATCTTGATCTGAGAGTCGGCCGTTCCCGTCCCGAAGATCAGACCGTCAGGGTGGAACTGGGCACAGGTTAGAGCTGGAGGGGTACAGGACAGGATGTGCAAAGAACATGCATTTGCAATGTATCATTGTGCTTTCAGTGAGTACAAGGGACAGGGTGGTTAGAAATGTTGTATTTTATTTTTCAGGTACTAGGTCAGTCAATTCACAGGGGGTGCAGGGGAGGGCTGGTTAAATGTTATTGTTTATTTGTCTACCTATCTACATATGAAAGACAACCTGGCATTTAAGGGGCCTAATATGTGGGAAATTAGTTGGTGGGCTGACCCCACATTTAGGAAGTGCTACTTTTGGATACTGACAGACAATGAGAGGAAGCTGGTCCCTAGCCTTATGTGGTCAATAAAACATCTTGTCCCTAGCAACATCTGGTCAATAAAACGTCTTGTCCCTAGCTATATGTGGTCAATAAAATGTCTTGTCCCTAGCAACATGTGGTCAATAAAACGTCTTGTCCCTAGCAACATGTGGTCAATAAAACGTCTTGTCCCTAGCAACATGTGGTCAATAAAACATATTGTCCCTAGCAACATGTGGTCAATAAAACATATTGTCCCTAGCTATATGTGGTCAATAAAACATATTGTCCCTAGCTATATGTGGTCAATAAAACGTCTTGTCCCTAGCAACATGTGGTCAATAAAACGTCTTGTCCCTAGCTATATGTGGTCAATAAAACGTCTTGTCCCTAGCAACATGTGGTCAATAAAACATATTGTCCCTAGCAACATGTGGTCAATAAAACATACTGTCCCTAGCAACATGTGGTCAATAAAACATATTGTCCCTAGCAACATGTGGTCAATAAAACATGTTGTCCCTAGCAACATGTGGTCAATAAAACATCTGGGAAGACAAAGAGAGAGAGAGAGAGGTCCAAAGGTGTGGTCCAGCGATTAGAGCTGCAACAGTGGCCATGGCTTCGAATCCGGCCCACTGCCCATTCACTCACCCTCCTCCTACCTCCCTGTGGTAGACTAGTGTCCTGTCTAGGGGGTGTACTTATACATCAAGCTGCCTCACTACAGAAACAGGACATATGCTCCTGCCCTATGAGCCGTTCTGGCTTGGACAAGGCTACTTACTTACTCCTATCTTTCATGTCTTTCCACCACTGTCCCATCTCCTCAATAAAAATACAATTTTAAAAAGAGCGGGAGAGAGAAGCACTCACCACATCCTGCAGCCTCATCAGTGACTTTGGTGAGAACCCGACCTGTTTGGATGTCAGAAAAGGCCCAGTACTGATGGAGAGAGAGAAAAAATTTTTTTTTACATAACAATACCGTCCAAATCCATGTGTGTGTTTCTGAATGTGTATATGTGTTACGTGTATGTGTGTGTCTGTGTGCACGTGTGTGTGTGTGTGTGTGCATGTAAATGCATGTGTGTGTTACCTGATCCTCGGAGGAGCTGAGCAGGTAATCTCCGGTGGCGTGGAGGGAGAGCCCGGTGACGCTCGCCTCGTGAGCCCGCACCACCTGGACACAGTTGCCCCCGGTAACGGACCACACGCGGATAGTGCTGTCTGGAGAGGCCGAGAACACCACCGACTGGAGGGAGAGAGTGAGAGGAGGAGAGCGCGCAGAGAGAGAAAGGGGGGAGAGAGGGAGAGAAATTGTTGAGGTAAGGGATATTAGAGTTATAGAGTATTTCCAGTGCAAGGGATTGCTGCGGACTATGTAAATGGAGAGTAAAGGAAAGTGTGTGTGTCTCACCTGAGAGGGGTGGTAGATGACAGAGGTGACCTTCTTGGTGTGTCCTTTCAGGGTTGCGATGATCTGCTCCTCCTTCTTATCAAACACCACCACGTTCTTATCAGCCCCGCCTGTAGAGGGAGACAGAGAGAGAGAGAGAGAGAGAGAGAGGTTAGGGGTTGTATCTGGGTCTGGCCAGGGTCTGCATCCCAAACGTCACCCTTCTGGTCAAAAGTAGTGCACTATATAGGAAATGTGGGGTGACATTTGGGACAGCCATAGTATTTTTTGTTTCCACAAGGGAGAGAGCATTTTGATGGAATTCACACAGAAACAATATGCATGTACAGTGGGGAGAACAAGTATTTGATACACTGCTGATTTTGCAGGTTTTCCTACTTACAAAGCATGTAGAGGTCTGTAATTTTTATCATAGGTACACTTCAACTGTGAGAGACGGAATCTATAACAAAAATCTAGAACACCACATTGTATGATTTTTAAGTAATTAATTTGCATGACATAAGTATTTGATCACCTACCAACCAGTAAGAATTCCGTCTCTCACAGACCTGTTAGTTTTTCTTTAAGAAGCCCACCTGTTCTCCACTCATTACCTGTATTAACTGCACCTGTTTGAACTCGTTACCTGTTTAAAAGACACCTGTCCACACACTCAATCAAACAGACTCCAACCTCTCCACAATGGCCAAGACCAGAGAGCTGTGTAAGGACATCAGGGATAAAATTGTAGACCTGCACAAGGCTGGGATGGGCTACAGGACAATAGGCAAGCAGCTTGGTGAGAAGGCAACAACTGTTGGCGCAATTATTAGAAAATGGAAGAAGTTCAAGATGACGGTCAATCACCCTCGGTCTGGGGCTCCATGCAAGATCTCACCTCGTGGGGCATCAATGATCATGAGGAAGGTGAGGGATCAGCCCAGAACTACACGGCAGGACCTGGTCAATGACCTGAAGAGAGCTGGGACCACAGTCTCAAAGAAAACCATTAGTAACACACTACGCCGTCATGGATTAAAATCCTGCAGGGCACGCAAGGTCCCCCTGCTCAAGCCAGCGCATGTCCAGGCCCGTCTGAAGTTTGCCAATGACTATCTGGATGATCCAGAGGAGGAATGGGAGAAGGTCATGTGGTCTGATGAGACAAAAATATAGCTTTTTGGTCTAAACTCCACTCGCCGTGTTTGGAGGAAGAAGAAGGATGAGTACAACCCCAAGAACATCATCCCAACCGTGAAACATGGAGGTGGAAAAATCATTCTTTGGGGATGCTTTTCTGCAAAGGGGACAGGACGACTGCACTGTATTGAGGGGAGGATGGAAGCGGTCATGTATCGCGAGATCTTGGCCAACAACCTCCTTTCCTCAGTAAGAGCATTGAAGATGGGTCGTGGCTGGGCCTTCCAGCATGACAACGACCCGAAACACACAGCCAGGGCAACTAAGGAGTGGCTCCGTAAGAAGCATCTCAAGGTCCTGGAGTGGCCTAGCCAGTCTCCAGACGTGAACCCAATAGAACATCTTTGGAGGGAGCTGAAAGTCCATATTGCCCAGTGACAGCCCCGAAACCTGAAGGATCTGGAGAAGGTCTGTATGGAGGAGTGGGCCAAAATCCCTGCTGCAGTGTGTGCAAACCTGGTCAAGACCTACAGGAAACGTATGATCTCTGTAATTGCAAACAAAGGTTTCTGTACCAAATATTAAGTTCTGCTTTTCTGATGTATCAAATACTTATGTCATGCCATAAAATGCAAATTAATTACTTAAAAATCATACAATGTGATTTTCTGGATTTTTGTTGAAGTGTACCTATGATAAAAATTACAGACCTCTACATGCTTTGTAAGTAGGAAAACCTGCAAAATCGCCAGTGTATCAAATACTTTTTCTCCCCACTGTATATCTACAATGAGCAGTGGACAGTGTGTGTGTGTGTCTCACCAGTGAGCACTTTGTTGGTGTCGGAAGGACACAGGTCCAGAGACAGGATCCCAGGCACACTGGCACTGTGGAGACCCTGACAGACAGACAGACAGACAGACAGACAGACAGACAGAGAGAGAGCGAGGGAGACATAGAAACATCATTTAGGGTTGTGTTCAGTAGGCACGAAACAGAAGAAAAACGGTCTGAAACAGGGAGGAACTTTTCTGAACTTGCCCAAGGTTTGAAGAATTAGTGTTCCAACACCAGCCATAGCTAGATGTCACACACACACACACACACACACACATACTCACAGCATGGGTGGCCACTTGTCTGTACTTGCTGAGGTCCTCCGTTCGGACCAGCTCTTCTGGAACTGTCTTTCCTCTCTGTGGGAAGAGAGATGGTAGAGGTGAGGTTTGGACAAAAATGTCTCCTGGCATGACTACGTCCCAAATGTCACCCTATGGACCCTGTTCAAAAGTAGTGCACTAAGAAGAGGGCAGGTTGCCATTTGAGACACAGCCCATAGCTTATACTCAGCTGACAATTGGTTCGACATTAGGTCGGTTATTCTATGATCAGGGAAGTTGTTTGAAAATGACTTCTTTGGCGTTTGAATAGTTACCTTCTTTCTCTCTGTGGTGAGGACAGTGGCCTTGTCTTGGAGCTGTGGAGAGAGGCGGACATCTCAGTATAGGTAACTCTGTGCTGTGTAGTGTGACTGAGTGAAAGCGTGGCTGATTGGTTGATTGATTATTTCAAGGTTTTATACATCACAGCCTTATATGGCACTATTTGCAATGAATGCACATGATAGTCTAGTATAACAGTGTGGTATCATTTCTCTGGTACTGTAGATGTGAATGTATGTGAGGTCACGTATCATCTCTTACCTTCTGTATGATCTCTGGATTCATTCCCACCTGCTCACTGACCTCCATGGGCTCTCCTGCTCCTCCAGCCTGTGAGATGAAATACAGAAATGAATAACAAACTAGAATGGTACATTTCTGATTAGAAAATGTGTGTTTGTGTCAGCTGTCCAAAATTATTTTTATATATACTACAACTTTAAAGGTCTCACTTAGACCAAAGACTTCAATCAAGAAACAGACTTTTTGAGCTCATGCAAAGTTAACCATCAAACCAGTTAACTATCAAATTAAACATGTTGACTGAGGGCTTTGAGCCAATCACTGACCGTGACAGAGGGCTGGGAAGTGACTGCCTGAGCCACCACCAATCCCGCCTGTGGCTTCAGAGTGGCCAGAGCTACACGGAGAGAGAGAAGGGTCAAACATAGCAGAGGAGAAATAAGAAGCGAGGCCCCATGGCCACTAACATCCAAAGCTGTATCCAGATGAACACAAAAGTGTGTGCAAGTATGCTTGCACGTGTGTCCGTCCGTAATACTGTGTGTGTGTTACAATGTATGTATAATCATATGTGTTGAGTGTACAAGAATGTGTATGCATATAAGTGTGTGTACACATGTATATGTCTCTCACCCTCTCTGGCGGCAGTGACCTCCTTGGTGAGACGGGCGATGACCCTGCAGGCGGCGTCGTGCTGGTAGAGGGCGTGGCTTAGCTCCTGACGCGTCGTCTGCAGCTGCTGCCTCAAGGTGAAACTGTGGAGCATCACCGCATCCTGGGAGAGAGAGAGTGTTTTAGAAGAGTGTGTGGTAGGAAGGAGGAGTGTGTGTGTTGTTGGGATCTATTTTCTTATAATTAGATGTTATGCCTAGCTTAAAAAGAATACATGAATGATTAAACATAATAGGTTTGTGCTGTACTGATATAGATTGTTTAACATAACAAGCTGTGATTAATGTGAGGAACCGTTAGGGGCGAGGCTGAGATAGACTTGTGACACACACACACACACACACACACTGCCTCTTTGTTAAACCGCTCAAGGACATGTGTACTGCAACAATGAAGAAGAGGAAACTATGTCTGAGGGTTGCTGACTCTCGAGCCAAGGGGCTGGGACCAGCCTGTGCGCCAACGATAGGCTGAGTAAGTTTAAACCACGCTCAGCCTCTACTCTGACAGGCCCGCTTTGAACGGGAACTATCTCTGCCAGAGTATTAAAATAATAACTTTGGGTTGGGACAGTTAGTTCTCTGTTTTGCCCTGCGAGGTGTTACCGTGAACCCGTATATACGAAAATTGCATTTACCATTTATTCGCTTGACTAATTATATTAATAAAAAAGCTGAGAATATATTCAGTGACTTAGTGTTAAATTCTGTTATGATACCAGATTCGAATTACGCAACTTAACAGTGTGTGTCTCAGTTCAGACACAGTGAAGGGGAGTTTAGCAGAGTATACATGGACTTACCCACTCATCCTGAAGAGCTTTGAGGATGGCTGGGATACTAGTGGATGAGGGAGCTTTGGGTCTGATGGGGTGAGAGACTGAGGCAGGGGGAGACAAAAATAGCTTAATGTAGTGAGATATCTTTTGACCCCTGACTAGTGGGGTTATCATTGTTGTTGAAGTGGCAGAATACACTCTAGCCTAGAGATTACTGAGCACCATGCAGGAATAGTTGGAAGTGAAATAATATGGATAACCCTTATTGTGTTGACTGCAGCTCAGCATCAGATCTGAACACACTCTCCTCCATGTCTCCCTCACCTTTAATGTCTATCAGCTGTTCCTCTGACAGAGGCTGCCCATTCATAGGGTCTGCTCCATTCTCGGCGATGTACTTCTCAATAAGCCGCCGCTCGAACACCTGGTTGGACACCGGCGACACGCACGGGTGCTCCGGGACCTCATTTGAGACTGGATGGAAGGTAGAGAGAGAGGGGTAAATTAGTAGGCCCTAAATTACAATATAAATACGGAAAACGTAACTTTAGACAGAAGGACACATTACCGTTTAAGTGTACTTTGCAGATATAACGTTATAATACCGATGTCAAGCTGACCCAGTATACAATGTTTGAAAAGGGATGCTTGCGAATTGAAATGTATAACATGCATAGGGTGACAATAATAAGGGAAGGTTCTAGAGACATTCTTATACACAAACATACGTGATATTTGCCGTCTGTGTAACGTACTGCTAACGTTACGGAAGGGCAACTCGACTCATTCATTTGAACTTACTTGCACAAACCAGGGACATTTTCAGTAGCTAGCTAAACCCTCGGTCGTTCGTTCCCTCCAAGATCACCGTATCAGTACTGATAAATTAATGTTATTCGGATCCAACTGTAGTCTATTATTGTGTTGATTCTCATATAATAATAATCCGACTAAATAAAATGTTGATGGATTAATTTTTCTTTCCGTATTCACGCACGTTGGTCCGCGGCTGCGCGTGTCGGGTCATGGTGCCGCTCCAACTATTGCATGCTGGGATAGCACGAGTCCTCCAACCCCGCCCCTAGTCTGTAGTCCCCAACAAACTATAGTGCTATTCAGAATCCTTGGGACATCCATTCCCTAAACCTTAATCCCTAGCTACCTTAACCGTAACCATTTAAAATTTCAACTTCAATGGGTGTAAGGACATCCCAAAGATTCCGGATAGCAACGACCAACAAACCATAGATAAATAAAAGAGATAGCATAAATATTATATGGTTATCAATATGGTCTTCTGTAGCTCAATTGGTAGAGCATGGCTTTTGTAACGCCAGGGTAGTGGGTTCGATCCCCGGGACCACACATACGTAAAAATGTATGCACACATGATTGTAAGTCGCTTTGGATAAAAGCGTCTGCTAAATGTCTTATTATTATTAAAATGTGTCAAAGGCAGTTGTGAAAAAAAAATATATATATATATAATGAAATTTGTGTGAATCTGCTTTCACCATTCATGGCAACTCAGAAGAAGTAGACCTCCAGGGTTGTGGGTTCGATTCCCACGGGGGGGCAGTATGAAAATGTATGCACTCACTAAAAAACTGTAAATCGCTCTGGATAAGAGCGTCTGCCAAATGACTAAAATGTAAATGTTTAGTCTAGACAAGAGGGCTATAAATTAAACCAGGCTGGGCACGCCCCTTTCCTCATCAACGGGGCTGCCATGGAGACGGTCAAAAACGTCAAATTCCTCAGACCTCCGAGGAGCTGAAATGGTCAAACCACACGGACACCGTGGTGAAGAAGTCAGGACAGGACCAACTTTGGGAAACCCTGCACTAAGGAACAGGGTGCCATTTGGGACCCTTATTTACTGATGAGTCAATGTGGGAAGTCACTTGTGCTCTGGATGGGCTTCACAGGGTTAATGCAGCGTTCAAAACAACTGGGGTCTCGGAAAAATACGACGTCAAATCATGAAGTCAGTGATCTTCAGGTTGGAAAGTCGAAGCTCTAGAAAGAGGCACGAGTTCCCGAGTTGGAATTCAAATCGATGTTTCGATTTCCCAGTCGGAGCTCGTTTTTTTTTCCGAGTTCCCAGTTGATGTGAACACGGCATCCATCCTTGAGGAATTTCTGCTGCGGGTCTGTCATTCGCAATCTCCCCCTTTGATCTCACCACGCCCGCGAGTTCTTTTCACTTCGCTCAGACTACCCTTTTAGCTCTACCTTCTATCCGGTCACCGCGTGAAGCTCTCCCTGCAAATAGAGAGAGACACTGTTATGAGAAGAAAAACAGCAAAATAGTCCCCTGTATTCTTTCCTATCAAGGTATGTAGCCTATGTATATATTCTGTACGTTTTGTTTATCCCATATGTAACTCTGTGTTGTTTTTATCGCATTGCTTTGCTTTATCTTGGCCAGGTCGCAGTTGTAAAAGAGAACTTGTTCTCAACTGGCTTACCTGGTTAAATAAAGGTTAAATAAATAAAATAAAATAAATGCACAATAAGAAGTGTGTGTGATGGCCATGTTCACAGCTCAAAATGAAATGTTCCATTGCGGCTTTTAGTTTATTCAGCCTGTTTTCTTTACTACATTGACGATTGACACTCTTTGTATGATTTACTTCCCTTGCCTTGTTCAGTGATGTTTGTTTGGAATTTGCTTTGGAGAGTCTTGTTCTTTTTATTGTATTGTGATCCATGGCGTCTGGTCGCTTGCGTGCGAGCCTCCCTGTCTCGTGCAAGGAGAGGGGTGGGTTGTGAGTATGTGCATAATGTTTTGTGTCGGACTCGCTTTTCCTGTTAACACAGTGATCCGCACTATCGGCGTTAAAGGCCCAGTGCGGTCAAGAACGTGATTTTTCTGTGTTTTATGTATATTTGAAGAGTTTAATTCCAAAACGCTATATATCCATGTTCAGAAATGTTGGTAAATTAGCTTTTATTGTTGAAAGAAATTATGAAATGTTTTTTCACTATCTAATCATGGCATGGGGGTTGTTCAATGACATACATGTATTTGTTTAAAATCTATCACTTGATGGTTTCATTTCAGAGACAAATATACAGTTGAAGTTGGAAGTTTACATACGCTTAGGTCGGAATCATTAAAACTCGTTTTCAACCACTCCACAAATTTCTTTTTTAACAAGCTATAGTTTTGGCAAGTCGGTTAGGACATCTACTTTGTGCATGACACAAGTAACTTTTCCAACAATTGTTTACAGACAGATTATTTCACTTATAATTCACTGTATCACAATTCCAGTGGGTCGGAAGTTTACATACAAAGTTGACTGTGCCTTTAAACAGCTTGGAAAATTCCAGAAAATGATGTCATGGTTTTAGAAGCTTCTGAGAGGCTAATTGACATCATTTGAGAGCGACCTACAGTAAGTGCATGTCACTGTTGAGTGTAGAAGTGGTGTGGAATCAAGCGCAGGACACACAGAGGCTTCGTACTGACGTCTTTAGTGAAGACAAAAAGAACAAGCCAAACACGGCTACATACAACCTGGCAGGCAAGCGAACTTTACGCACACCGGTAAAGTACATACAAAGGCACAAAAGTGCGGAGCTGTCTACTACACCGAACAGAGAGACAAAAACGAACTAGCATCCCACAGTGACAACGAACAATTACACACAACACATGACAAAACTCAAGAGAACTTATAGGACGCATAATTAACACTAACAAGGAACAGGTGTAACAAAACAGACAAAACCAATCAAACATCGAAACATAGAACGGTGGCAGCTAGTACTCCGGAGACGACGACCGCCGAAGCCTGCCCGAACAAGGAGAAGGAGCAGCCTCGGCCGAAACCGTGACAGTACCCCCCCCCCCCCCCCCTTGACGCGCGGCTGCAGCCGTGCGCCGACCCCGGCCTCGAGGACGACCAGGAAGACGCGGAGCAGGGCGCGTGGGATGACGTGGGAACTCGGTCAGAAGAGACGGGTCTAGGATGTCCCTCCTCGGCACCCAGCACCGCTCCTCCGGGCCGTACCCCTCCCACTCCACGAGATATTGGAGACCCCCCATCCGGCGTCTCGAATCTAGGATGGACCGAACAGTGTACGCCGGAGCCCCCTCGATGTCCAGCGGGGGCGGAGGAGTCTCTTCTATCTCATAGTCCTGGAGTGGACCAGCTACCACCGGCCTGAGGAGAGACACATGGAACGAGGGGTTAATATTCTTGTAATCAATTGGCAGTTGTAACCTGTAACACACCTCGTTCAATCTCCTCAGGACTTTAAAAGGCCCCACAAACCGCCGACCCAGCTTCCGGCAGGGCAGGCGGAGGGGCAGGTTTCTGGTCGAGAGCCAGACTCGATCTCCAGGTGCGTACACTGGCCCCTCACTGCGGTGGAGATCGGCGCTCGTCTTATGTCGACGGATGGCTCGCTGCAGATGGATGTGTGCAGCGTTCCACGTCTCCTCCGAGCGCCGCACCCACTCATCCACCGCAGGGGCCTCGATCTGGCTCTGATGCCAAGGTGCCAGAGCCGGCTGGTACCCTAACACACACTGGAAAGGAGTTAGTTTAGTGGAGTAGCGGAGAGAGTTCTGTGCCATCTCGGCCCAGGGAACATACCTCGCCCACTCCTCCGGCCGGCCCTGGCAATACGACCTCAGAAACCTACCCACATCCTGGTTGACACGTGCGACCTGCCCATTACTCTCCGGGTGGTAACCCGAGGTAAGGCTCACCGAAACCCCCAAACGCTCCATAAACGCTCTCCAGACTCTGGAGGTAAACTGGGGGCCTCGATCAGACACTATATCCTCGGGTACCCCGTAATGCCGGAAGATGTGGGTGAATAGAGCCTCAGCACCCCGAATAAATGAGTCGATCCCGGACCTCGAGCGGGACGTACGTCCGACCCACCGGACACTGTGGAGGGCTAGGGTCGGTGCGTAACGCCCGCTCGATCTCCGTATCGACCTCCCACACCACCGGTGCCACCAGACAAGACTCAGGTAGTATGGGAGTGGGCTCAACGGACCTCTCCTCTGTGTCATACCGCCGAGACAGGGCGTCTGCCTTCCCGTTCTGGGACCCAGGGATGTAAGTGATCTTGAACACGAACCGGGCTAGAAACATAGTCCACCGAGCCTGGCGAGGATTTAGTCTCCTAGCTGCCCGAATGTATTCCAGGTTACGGTGGTCAGTCAAAATGAGAAAAGGGTGTTGAGCCCCCTCAAGCCAATGCCTCCACACCTTTAGGGCCTGTACCACGGCTAACAGCTCCCTGTCCCCTACGTCATAATTTCGCTCCGCCGGACGGAGCTTTTTCGAGTAAAAAGCACAGGGGCGGAGTTTAGGTGGTGTGCCGGATCGTTGCGAGAGAACGGCCCCGATACCGGCTTCTGACGCGTCCACCTCCACTTGGAATGGTAAAGCGGGATCCGGATGCGCCAGCACCGGAGCCGAAGTAAACAGGTCCTTCAGTCTCCCAAAAGCCCTGTTCGCCTCAGCTGACCACCGCAAGCGCACCGGACCCCCCTTCAGAAGGGACGTTATGGGAGCTGCCACCTGTCCAAAACCCCGGATAAACCTCCGGTAGTAATTCGCAAAGCCCAAGAACTGCTGCACCTCTTTCACTGTGGTTGGGGTTTGCCAATTACGCACGGCTGACACACGGTCAACCTCCATCTTCACCCCTGACGCGGACAACTGATAACCCAAAAAGGAGACCGACTCCTGGAAGAACAGACATTTCTCTGCCTTGACATACAGGTCATGCTCCAACAGCCTCCTCAACACTCGGCGCACCAGGGCTACATGCTCGGCTCGGGTAGAACTGTACACTAGAATATCGTCTATGTACACGACCATTCCCTGCCCCTGCATGTCCCGGAAGATCTCATCCACAAAGGATTGGAAGACTGATGGAGCATTCATTAACCCGTATGGCATGACGAGATACTCGTAATGACCCGAGGTAGTACTAAATGCTGTCTTCCATTCATCGCCCTCTCTAATGCGCACCAAGTTGTATGCGCTCCTGAGGTCCAATTTTGTGAAGAACCGTGCCCCGTGTAATGACTCCGTCATAGTCGCAATCAGAGGGAGTGGATAACTATATTTCACAGTAATCTGATTGAGACCGTGGTAATCGATACACGGGCGCAAAACTCCATCTTTATTCTTCACAAAAAAGAAGCTCGAGGACGCAGGGGAAGTGGAGGGCCGTATGTATCCCTGTCTCAGAGACTCGGCAATGTATGTCTCCATTGCCCTCTTCTCCTCTTGTGACAAAGGATACACATGGCTCCGCGGGAGCGCAGCTCCTGCCTGGAGGTCTATCGCACAATCCCCCTGTCTATGACGTGGCAATCGCGCCGCCCTCGCCTTGCTAAACACGAGTGCTAAATCCTCATACTCCGGGGGAACATGCATTGCGGGCATTTGGTTTGGACTCTCCACCGAGGTCGCCCCTACGGAAACACCCAGACATAGCCCCACACACTGGGCAGACCACCCCTTAAGAGCCTTCTCTCGCCACAAAATGGTAGGATCGTGAGTAATCAACCAGGGAAGCCCCAGCACCACCGGATACGCAGGAGAGTCAATCAGGTATAGCTGAATCGTCTCCTCATGACCCCCCTGCGTCTCCATCCTAAGTGGCACTGTGACCTCCCTGATCAACCCGGATCCTAACGGACGGTTATCTAGGGCATGTACAGGGAAGGGATTATTAACCGGTAGGAGAGGGATCCCTAACTCTATACAACATTTACGATCTACAAAATTCCCAGCTGCGCCTGAATCTACTAGCGCCTTATGCTGGGAACGAGGTGCAACCTGTGGAAAACAAACAGGTATGGTTATGTGCACGACAGAAAGCTCTGGGTAAGTGGGGCGCCTACTCACCTGGGAGGACTCCCCAATGTGTGGCCTGCTGTCTCGTCCTCCAGGAGACCCTCCCCAGCACCTAGCCGCGGTGTGCTTCCACGGCCACAGTTGGTGCAGGGGACGGCCCCCCTCGGGCTCCTTCTCCTCCGTTCTCTAGCGCCAGCACCCCCGAGCTCCATAGGACTCGGCTCGGAGGTGCTGGAGGGTGGGTGGCGAGCAGGGTGTCTAGCCGAATGGCCATGTCAACCAATTGGTCAAACGAAAGAGTGGTGTCCCTGCACGCCAACTCTCTACGGACGTCCTCCCTGAGGCTGCAGCGGAAGTGATCTATGAGGGCCCGCTCATTCCACCCTGCATCTGCCGCTAGAGTCCGGAACTCCAGTGCAAACTCTTGAGCGCTCCTCATCCCCTGCCGGAGGTAGAATAGACGCTCCCCCGCCGCCTTCCCCTCAGGTGGATGGTCGAACACTGCCCGGAAGCGGCGGGAGAACTCCGCATAGGTGATCGTTGCGGCGTCTATCCTCCTCCATTCGGCGTTGGCCCACTCCAACGCCTTGCCGGTGAGACAGGAGATGAGGGCGGAAACGCTCTCGTGTCCCGAGGGCACCGGGTGTACGGTGGCGAGGTAGAGTTCGATTTGCAACAGGAAACCCTGACACCCGGTCGCGGTGCCGTCGTACGCCCTCGGGAGCGAGAGCCGAATCCCACTGGGTTCCGGAAGTTGGACAGGTGGACTGACCGATGGTGTGGTAGGTGGGGGCGTGGGTACCCCGCTGGCCTCCCATCGATGGAGGGTGTTCATCACCCTATCCAGAGCGTGCCCGATCTGGTTGATCCTGTCCTCCTGTCCACGAAGGCGCTCCTCAATAATCTCGGTGGGTGCGGCTGTGTAATTCTGTCACTGTTGAGTGTAGAAGTGGTGTGGAATCAAGCGCAGGACACACAGAGGCTTCGTACTGACGTCTTTAGTGAAGACAAAAAGAACAAGCCAAACACGGCTACATACAACCTGGCAGGCAAGCGAACTTTACGCACACCGGTAAAGTACATACAAAGGCACAAAAGTGCGGAGCTCTCTACTACACCGAACAGAGAGACAAAAACAAACTAGCATCCCACAGTGACAACGAACAATTACACACAACACATGACAAAACTCAAGAGAACTTATAGGACGCATAATTAACACTAACAAGGAACAGGTGTAACAAAACAGACAAAACCAATCAAACATCGAAACATAGAACGGTGGCAGCTAGTACTCCGGAGACGACGACCGCCGAAGCCTGCCCGAACAAGGAGAAGGAGCAGCCTCGGCCGAAACCGTGACAGTGCATTGATCTTAAGATAGCTAGGTGAGACAACCACAGATCACAGTCAAATATACAGGATATGAACATTCCATTCCAGCTAAACAATGAATATACAGTGGGGAAAAAAAGTATTTAGTCAGCCACCAATTGTGCAAGTTCTCCCACTTAAAAAGATGAGAGAGGCCTGTCATTTTCATCATAGGTACACGTCAACTATGACAGACAAATTGAGAAAAGAAAATCCAGAAATCACATTGTAGGATTTTTAATGAATTTATTTGAAAATTATGGTGGAAAATAAGTATTTGGTCACCTACAAACAAGCAAGATTTCTGGCTCTCACAGACCAGTAACTTCTTCTTTAAGAGGCTCCTCTGTCCTCCACTCGTTACCTGTATTAATGGCACCTGTTTGAACTTGTTATCAGTATAAAAGACACCTGTCCACAACCTCAAACAGTCACACTCCAAACTCCACTATGGCCAAGACCAAAGAGCTGTCAAAGGACACCAGAAACAAAATTGTAGACCTGCACCAGGCTGGGAAGACTGAATCTGCAATAGGTAAGCAGCTTGGTTTGAAGAAATCAACTGTGGGAGCAATTATTAGGAAATGGAAGACATACAAGACCACTGATAATCTCCCTCGATCTGGGGCTCCACGCAAGATCTCACCCCGTGGGGTCAAAATGATCACAAGAACGGTGAGCAAAAATCCCAGAACCACACGGGGGGACCTAGTGAATGACCTGCAGAGAGCTGGGACCAAAGTAACAAAGCCTACCATCAGTAACACACTACGCCACCAGGGACTCAAATCCTGCAGTGCTAGACGTGTCCCCCTGCTTAAGCCAGTACATGTCCAGGCCCGTCTGAAGTTTGCTAGAGTGCATCCAGAAGAGGATTGGGAGAAAGTCATATGGTCAGATGAAACCAAAATAGAACTTTTTGGTAAAAACTCAACTTGTCGTGTTTGGAGGACAAAGAATGCTGAGTTGCATCCAAAGAACACCATACCTACTGTGAAGCATGGGAGTGAAAACATCATCCTTTGGGGCTGTTTTTCTGCAAAGGGACCAGGACGACTGATCCGTGTAAAGGAAAAATGAATGGGGCCATGTATCGTGAGATTTTGAGTGAAAACCTCCTTCCATCAGCAAGGGCATTGAAGATGAAACGTGGCTGGGTCTTTCAGCATGACAATGATCCCAAACACATCGCCCGGGCAACGAAGGAGTGGCTTCGTAAGAAGCATTTCAAGGTCCTGGAGTCTCCAGATCTCAACCCCATAGAAAATCTTTGGAGGGAGTTGAAAGTCCGTGTTGCCCAGCGACAGCCCCAAAACATCACTGCTCTAGAGGAGATCTGCATGGATGAATGGGCCAAAATACCAGCAACAGTGTGTGAAAACCTTGTGAAGACTTACAGAAAACGTTTGACCTGTGTCATTGCCAACAAAGGGTATATAAGAAAGTATTGAGAAACGTTTGATATTGACCAAATACTTATTTTCCACCATAATTTGCAAATAAATTCATTAAAAATCCTACAATGTGATTTTCTGGATTTTTTTTCCTCATTTTGTCTGTCATAGTTGACGTGTACCTATGATGAAAATTACAGGCCTCTCTCATCTTTTTAAGTGGGAGAACTTGCACAATTGGTGGCTGACTAAATACTTTTTTTCCCCACTGTATAGCGTTTTTTATACACATCTATGAATTATTAATCTGAGAACAATAATATAATAAACACACATGTAGGTACCCAAAATCAAGAATTTCTGATGAAAAAACATAAATATGAAAAATCGGTGGGATCTAGTATTTTGGAAATAAACTCTTAATTTCCACATTAGGAGGTTGGAATATTACTGTGAAAATGATAATGCCCTTTTTAGTGTAAGAGCTATTTGAAAAAATAGTCTGAAATTTTAGCCTGTTTTGGTGGGATGGAGTTTTGGCCTGCTTCGTGACATCACCACACAGCAAATTAGTTTATAGACCAATGAGAGAGATCTATTAACTAATCTTTCCCTCCCTTCCCCGTACTCTCCAAACCTCTCTGCCAATAACAGCTAGTGTTCAGTTTTCCCCTCCCCACTCAGACCACTCCCAGACAGTCCTAGCAACATTTCTGCTTGAGAAATGTCTCTTTGCTAAGAAGCAATTTAATGAAAAAAATGTAACATTTAAATTGAAAACAATAACAGTAAGGTACCTAATTGTTACCCAGAAATGATTTGACATTGAGATAAAAACGTGAACCTTTAAAGAAAATATCAAATAGTAGATTTATTTCATTCCTATAAATCTGCTTGATGTGGTTCTGGTTCATCCTTGTTTGTTCTTTTTAAAATTTGTTTGCTGAAATGCCATCGTCCCACTCCCAAAGGAAAAGCGTCACTCTTCGTAGATTATACAGCCCCATGTGAACTGCCAGTTCTCTGCCTGAGAGATGCCAATGAATAGGCTATATGGCTGGCAGATTTTTTTCGGAATAATAAATTATAATAAATCATTTATAAACATTTTTCATATTATAAATTGCATGCTATGGGCTACAGGCCTGTTGTGGAATGGTTGATGTAGCCTACTCATAGAAATGATCAGTGTCATCATACCCTCTCTGTAATCATTTCAAGTGCCTATGATTAAATTGCTCACCTTCTGTGTGACAATGATTAAAATAAAGTTTCAGAGATTGTTTTAGATTAGGCTACACAAAGTTATAGAACTATTATAGCCTATCACATTGTGGTCCTCTGTAGCTCAGCTGGTAGAGCACGGCGCTTGTAACGGCAAGGTAGTGGGTTCGATCCCCGGGGACCACCCATACACAAAAATGTATGCACGCACGACTGTAAGTCGCTTTGGATAAAAGCGTCTGCTAAATGGCATATTATTATTATTATTATTACATAGCCAGATTGCCAGAGGATCACGGAATGCAATGCATCGCATTCCACACTGTGGCTCCCACACTTCTGAAGCGCGTAAATTCCAGAGAATGCGGTTCGCCCGCATATGTTTCCACGGTGACTGTGCTGTGTGGGAGAGGAACATCAAAATATACATTACCAGTCAAAAGGTTGGACACACCTACTCATTCCAGGGTTGTACATTGTAGAATAATAGTGAAGAGATCAAAGCTATGAAATAACACATATGGAATCATGTAGTAACCAAAAAAGTGTTAAACAAATCAAAATATATTTTATATTTGAGATTCTTCAAATAGCCACCCTTTACCAGCTTCGCACGCTGTTGAGATTGCATAGAATACATTTTTGTTTTAGTTGTACTGTATAAATGATCAGTGTCAATGTAAATTGTTAATTTATGACATTTTTATTACATTTGTATTTATTTATTCAACATTTAATTACTTTGTTGTTTATTATTTGGTGTGTGTCTGTCTTATACCCCCCAAGCTGTTCATAATGCCATTTATCATATTTTCTGTATGAGACTATGTCTATGCCAATACTGTCTATGCCAATACAGATGATGTGGAGTCTTTGGATCCTGCTGGGCACTGCTCTCAGTGTGGGTGAGTTGGAGCTTACTTTGTATTCCCTCTTTTTTAAAGGACAGAAAAGACAGTTTAGAAATGACAAGAGGATACAGGGGTGGAGAGGGGAGAAAGCTGGAATGAATGACAATGATGTAACCCGGTCTCCAGCCGGGATTTGCATGTGTGTTGCGAGCAGGGAGTGTCACCACTACACTAAGGCTCTTCCACTGTATTAGCGCTTTACATTCCATTGAAAGGTCATCTAGAAACAAAAACGTGTGAAAACACATTTATGAACAAATGAAATCCTGGAGGAGGATTCGGTTGACATTTCAAGATGAATGGACGGCGTTGTTCAAAAGTAAACTGCTGTGTAGGTAGGGCATACTACTGCCAGTACTCCTTTACCATTATTGTACCTGTAACAGCTCATGCACCATATCTTCCTACACCATCAACTGCATTAGTCAACAGCAGAAACCTAGGGCCCATCCCTAATGGCACCCTATTCCCCATATAGGGCGCTACATTTGACCAGGGCCCATAGTGCACTTTATAGTGAAGATAAGATGCCATTTGGGACAGCAGATGTCAAGGACTTATAAAAGTTGTTAAAAGGGTTTCAATCTACATTATCCACTGCTTCAGATAATGTGGAATGAAATGTGTTAATCCTCTCTCTCTCACTCACTCACTCAGATGGCTACGTGGTGCCCGACCTGCACAAGCGTCTGTCTCACGGGCGACAGCTGAAGATCGACCTCCCAAAGAGTGCTGAGAAGCTGGAGTTCACCCCCGCTGCAGAGCCCCTGAAGACCTACCTGTACTGGGACCGTGGCGTCCGGACCACCAAGGGAAAGGTGTCTGGGACAGGAACCGACAGGAGCTGGTATCTGGACAAAGTGAGTGACTGTCTCTTTAATTGTCCAAGTCAAATTTCCCCTCAGGGATAATAAAGTATATCAAATCATATCATACCACCAGATGTCATCGAGGGGGGATTTGACAAAGAACACTACTTGGTTTTGACCGTTACTATTAATATTACTTAACACCCGTCCCGTCCCACCGATGCACCTACCATCCTCTCTTTCATTTAATTGTATTTTTTTTGTGTGAAGAGATTTTAAAGCTTGATTTGATTTGATCGTCCCTGTTAAGTGTTTGAGCTTTGCTCCCTGAAGGTGACTTACGAGGACCAGGGGACCTATGTCCAGAGAGACTACTGGAACAAGGAGATCTCCTCGCTCAAAGTGGCCGTGACCAGTGAGTGCTTTGCATGTTATTTAAAGGCATAGTTCGGGATTTTGATGAACTCGTGCATACCAACTCGTGCATACCATTTTTATGTCTCTGCGTTCAGTTTGAAGGAAGTTGCTAACTAGTGCTAGAGCAATTGCTCACTAGTGTTAGCGCAATGACTGGAAGTCTATAGGAACAGCTAGTATGCGCTAGCGCTAGTAAGCATTGGTTCGCAAAACTAACTCTAACTTCCTTCATACTGGACGGAGAGACATCCATGGTATCCATGAGTTCATCTGACTCTGGGGCTACGGCTATCTCTTTAATTATTGTCCTTTGTTGTTGTTGGTTAGTGGACAGATCATTTTGTCTTTTGGCCTTTTTGTCTCTCTCACTCTTGCTCGCTCCTTCCTTCTCTCTCTTTCCACCTATTCTCTCTCACCCACCCACCCCCCTCCCTCTCACCCCTTCAGGTACCCCCTCCCCCTCTCTTTCTCTCACTCTTTCCCTCTAATACAACATTTCACTTCCCCCCCCCCCCCCAGCCAGGCGTGAGTACATGAAGTGTGTGGCGGGCGAGGATCTCCACATCTTATTGGAGGGCATCAACCAGGCCGATGCCACGCTCTCCTTCTCAGGCGCAGACGCCAACGTCACCCTGGTGCATGATGGGGCAGTGGTGGCCCAGGACCTCCCGGACTACTGGAACCGGGTCAAGACCTTTTCCACAAAGATCAGCATCCAGAACGTCAACACCTCGGACGTGGGCTACTACACGCTGAAGGACACGAGAGACAGGGTGGTCTCCATCGTCAGGATGGAACTCACAGGTGTGTGTGGGGGGTTGGGGGGTGAGTTGTGTCTGTGTGTAATTTAGTTTAACCGTTTAGCTTTGCCACCCTCACAGGTTTTGGTTTCGCTGTGTTTCCATACGTTGTTAGTTAGCTCTGAAGTGTCACTCACTTCTGCTGAATCCCGGATTGAAAAACAGGGATTAGTTCAAATTAAATCAAAGTTACGCAAATGTCTCACATCACATCGCCCACGTGTCAGGATACCACTTTGTTCAAAAGCGTGTGCACTGCACAGATGCTACTGGCTATCCGAGGGTTTGATGCTTTCCCCTTTAACGATTTTCACCCATTACTTGTGGGGTCTGCTTTGCTGTGCTCAAGTTTAGTTTTCACTAGAATGTTCAGCTGTGGTTGTCTACTGCTAGGTTTTTAGTCTAAACTGTCATACTCACTTCTGCTGAATCACTCATTCCCATGTGTGTGTTGGGAGGGATACCACTTCACTCCAAACCTTGGTCTGCACAGATGCTGTCTGCATCCCAAATCATAATAACAAAATGGAATATTATTTGTCACATGCTTCGCAAGCAACAGGTGTAGACTAGTGAAATGCTTAATTACGGGCCCTTCCCAACAACGCAGAGGGAAAAATAGAAAGAAAGTAATTAATAATAACACAAGGAATAAATACACAATGAGTACCGATAACTTGGCTATATACACAGGGTACCAGTACCCAGTCGATGTGCAGGAGTACGAGGTCATTGAGGTGGATATGTACATATACAGTTGAAGTCGGAAGTTTACATACACAGTTTTTTAACCACTCCACAAATATATTGTTAACAAACTATAGTTTTGGCAAGTCAGTTAGGACATCTACTTTGTGAATGACAAGTAATTCTTCCAACAATTGTTTACAGACAGATTATTTCACTTATAATTCCCGTGTAGCTCAGTTGGTGGAGCATGGCGCTTGCAACGCCAGGGTTGTGGGTTTGATTCCCACGGGGGGCCAGTATGAAAAATGTATGCACTCACTGGATAAGAGCGTCTGCTAAATGACTAAAATGTAAATGTAATTCACTGTATCACAATTCCAGTGGGTCAGAAGTTTACATACACTAAGTTGACTGTGCCTTTAAACAGCTTGGAAAATTCCAGAAAATTGTCATGGCTTTAGAAGCTTCTGATTTACTCAAATTATGTGAAATTAGCCTATTGGAGGTGTACCTGTGGATGTATTTCAAGGCATACCTTCAAACTCAGTGCCTCTTTGCTTGACATCATGGGAAAATCAAAATAAATTTTCCCATGACAAACAATAGTATGCAAGTATAAACACAATGGGACCACGCAGCCGTCATACCGCTCAGGAAGGAGACACGTTCTGTCTCCTAGAGATGAACGTACTTTGGTGCGAAAAGTGCAAATCAATCCCAGAACAGCAGCAAAGGACCTTGTGAGGATGCTGGAGGAAACAGGTACAAAGTATCTATATCCACAGAAAAACAAGTCATATATCAAAATAACCTGAAAGGCCGCTCAGCAAGGAAGAAGCCACTGCTCCAAAACCGGCATAAAAAAGCCAGACTACGGTTTGCAACTGCACATGGGGACAAAGATTGTACTTTTTGGAGAAATGTCCTCTGGTCTGATGAAACAAAAATAGAACTGTTTGGCCATAATTACCATTGTTATGTTTGGAGGAGAAAGGGGGTGCTTGCAAGCCGAAGAACACCATCCCAACCGTGAAGCATGGGGGTGGCAGCATTATGCTGTGGGGTGATTTGCTGCAGGAGGGACTGGTGCACTTCACAAAATAGATGGCATCATGAGGAAGGAAAATTATGTGGATATATTGAAGCAACATCTCAAGACATCAGTCAGGAAGTTAAAGCTTCGTCACAAATGGGTCTTCCAAATGGACAATGACCCCAAGCATACTTCCAAAGTTGTGGCAAAATGGCTGAAGGACAACAAAGTAAATGTATTGGAGTGGCCATCACAAAGCCCTGACCTCAATCCTATAGAAAATGTGTGGGCAGAACTGAAAAAGCGTGTGCGAGCAAGGAGGCCTACAAACCTGACTCAGTTACACCAGCTCTGTCAGGAGGAATGGGCCAAAATTCACCCAACTTATTGTGTGAAGCTTGTGGAAGGCTACCTGAAACGTTTGACCCAAGTTAAACAAATTTAAGGCAATGCTACCAAATACTAATTGAGTGTATGTAAACTTCTGACCCACTGGGAATGTGATGAAAGAAATAAAAGCTTAAATAAATTATTCTCTCTACTATTATTCTGACATTTCACATTCTTACAATAAAGTGGGGATCCTAACTGACCTAAGACAGGGAATATTTACTAGGATTAAATGTCAGGAATTGTGAAAAACTGAGTTTAAAACGTATTTGGCTAAGGTGTATGTAAACTTCCGACTTCAACTGTAGGTAGGGATAAAGTGACTAGGCAACAGGATAGATCATTAACAGTAGCCGCAGCGTATGTGATAAGCACCCTATGGCACCCTATTTAGTACACTGGGCTCTGGTCAAAACTTGTCCACAAATACGCAAGTATGCTTAGTACATAGTAGTAACACATTGTAAGTAGTAACACAAGTCAGAGAGATACAAATTGGTGCTGCATAGAGACAAGTGGTGTTGGCTGCATAGAGACAAGTGGTGTTGGCTGCATAAAGACAAGTGGTGTTGGCTGCATAGAGACAAGTGGTGTTGGCTGCATAGAGACAAGTGGTGTTGGCTGCATAGAGACAAGTGGTGTTGGCTGCATAGAGACAAGTGGTGTTGGCTGCATAGAGACAAGTGGAGTTGGCTGCATAGAGACAAGTAGTGTTGGCTGCATAGAGACAAGTGGAGTTGGCTGCATAGAGACAAGTGGTGTTGGCTGCATAGAGACAAGTGGTGTTGGCTGCATAGAGACAAGTGGTGTTGGCTTCATAGAGACAAGTGGAGTTGGCTGCATAGAGACAAGTAGTGTTGGCTGCATAGAGACAAGTGGAGTTGGCTGCATAGAGACAAGTGGTGTTGGCTGCATAGAGACAAGTGGAGTTGGCTGTATTCTATGACTTCTGTTAGGTCATGTTGAAGTGTAAGTACGTACCGGAAATAGGCACTGCATCAGGATCCCTTCCCAACGGTCTGGTTTACTGGCATTTCGTCCCAAATGGCACTCTATTCTCTATATAGTGCACTACTTTTGACCAGGACCTATAAGGGAATAGGGTGCTATTTGGGACACACATTGTTTGGCTCGCGGCTCATATGTCTCAATCTGTTACTAATTAGTTGGTTATTTGTAGGACTACAGGGCCGCTCAGTAAGCTATGGGGTAGTGGGGAGGAGGGGGTGGGGTGAGAGGGATATAAATACAACCTGCATAGAGTGAAACACATGTCATCTGTCAATCACTCCCTCCTGTTCCCCTGGCTTTGCAATGTCTCCCAAATTAACTCCCTTGTCTCTCTCCTTCTTCCTCGCCCCCCCCCCCCCCCCTTCTCCCCCCTCCTCCTCCCCCTTACCTCCCTCTCTGTCTCCTCCCCCCTCCTCCCCCTATCCCCCTCCAGACAAACATGAGTATGAAGCAGGCAACCCCCTTATGGCCCTCCTCCTCCTGCTTGGTATCCCTGCCAGTATCTGCTGCTGTTACCGGAAGAAGATCTTCAAAAAGAAAGCCCCCCCCACCACCGCCATCCAAGTGGACAACCCCGAGACTCTGCACCCCCCTCCCGGCTACAACATGCCCGGAGGTGGACCTGGTGTCCCGGTGAGGGATAGTTAGATGGTGGCTTGGCAACGACCTAAATGGCACCCTGTTCTCCCTATTTAGCGCACTGCTTCTCACAATAGGTCTCTGGTCAAAACTAGTGGACTAGGGAATATGGTGCCCTTTGGGACAAATCCCTTGTAGAAGTGGCCCTTAGGTTCCTCCCTCTTATCCTATGCTGTACTACTATCATAATGACATTGTTGCAGTGATAGTTTATAGTTGAACGGTAATAACATGACGTGTGGTTTTTTCCTGTGATTATTGCAGACGTTCTATCGTGGCCCAGATCCTAACATTGTATATGATCCATTTATTCTTATTAATTTAGCTACATACTGTGGTGGGTTGGTTTGTGCATACCTTGTGTTTTGTATGTCATTGGAGTTGGTAGCGATTCTATATAAGTGTGTGTGTGTGTGTGTGTGTGTGTTATTATAGGCAGTGTGTGTCATTTTCTTATCTTGGTCTTGTCATGTACCATAATGTGTTTGAGTAGACAGAGGTCCTTCTGTCTATCTTAGTATATTTAAGTCGGTCTGTCTAATTACGGGAACTGTGGTGCTCCTCCATGTACAGGGAGGTTACCCTCAGGTTCACCCTCCCCCCAACCCTGGGATGCCAGGCCAGCCTCAATGGACCGGACCCCCACCTCAACCAGTGAGTCTGTCCGTCCGTCCATCTCTCTCTCTCGCTCATCTGTTCAATATCAATGGTTGGTATGGTTATTGTTAGGAAACCCTCGTAGTCCCCCTGTCGGGTCTGAAACTCCTCAGAAGAAGAAACAAGGAAGATAAAGTGTGTGACAGAGTTGTTTTGTTGTGGTTTGTTTCAGGTCTTCAACGCAGGCTACCCCCCTCAGGACCCTATGTACCCCCCCCAGGACCCTATGTACCCCCCTGCCCAGCCCCCACAGTCGAATGGCCCGCCGCCCAACCAGCCACAGTACAATCCTGGTGCTCCTCCGATGGTAGGCATTTATACTCTTCTCTACTTTCCTCTACTGGATTAGCCGGCTGAGGATGTGGCGGTTCTTGCTAACCTCATCGTTGTGGCGGCGGACAGCTAGCCTGTATCCCTCATCCAGTTGAGTGGCAATGTTCACTCTCCCCAAAGCAGACAATCTCAAACAGCTATCCATGTGGGTCTTTGACAGCTCATGTTTCTTAATCTTTTCTGAAAGATGGTGCATGTCCGTTACACCAGTCGCTGTCCAAGCGGTGCTGTCTGCCGTGCCGCCTTCAGGGTGAAAGAGTAAGCAGGGTAGCAGAAGACTGCATTAGCTACATCGCAGCCTGCTAGCCAGGTTTTTCGTTCATACCAATTTTTGGAAAATCCTCGGGTGTAGGACTTTCCCCCTTTAGTAGAAACCTGTTGAATTATTAAATTTGGTCTGGGAGGTCCTAATTGTTTCATTGCCAATTTATCTTGATTTGTTCGCCGACAAAAAGGAACTTCTTTCAAAGAGACAATCGAGTTGCACTGAACGCTAGCCATCTTGACCGTAAAAAGCCAACCATACCTTGGCTCCTCTGACCACTAACATAGAGTGGGCAAGCCCAACCAGTACCTGTGCCTCTGACCACTTGACCTGTGGCTCCTCTGACCACTAACAGTAAGTGGGCAGCCAACCAGTACCCTGGCTCCTCTGACCACTAACAGTAGAGTGGGCAGCCCAACCAGTACCCTGTGGTTCCTCTGACCACTAACAGTAGAGTGGGCAGCCCAACCAGTACCCTGTGGCTCCCTGACCACTAACAGCGAGTGGGCAGCCAACAGTACCCTGTGGCTCCTCTGACCACTACAGTAGAGTGGGCAGCCCAACCAGTAACCCTGTGGCTCCTCTGACCACTAACAGTAACAGCAGAGTGGGCAGCCCAACCAGTACCCCTGTGGCTCCTCTGACCACTAACAGCAGACGTGGGCAGCCCAACCAGTACCCTGTGACTCCTCTGACCACTAACCGAGTGGGCAGCCCAACCCGTACCTTGGGCTCCTCTGACCACTAACAGTAGAGTGGGCAGCCCAACCAGTACCCTGTGGTTCCTCTGACCACTAACAGTAGAGTGGGCAGCCCAACCAGTACCCTGTGGCTCCTCTGACCACTAACAGTAGAGTGGGCCGCCCAACCAGTACCCTGTGGCTCCTCTGACCACTAACAGTAGAGTGGGCAGCCCAACCAGTACCCTGTGGCTCCTCTGACCACTAACAGTAGAGTGGGCAGCCCAACCAGTACCCTGTGGCTCCTCTGACCACTAACAGTAGAGTGGGCAGCCCAACCAGTACCCTGTGACTCTGATGTTATACCTCTACTCTACTTAACTGTTGCATAGTATCTCTTCTCACTCCACCACTTCACTCTTTTCCTCTGGTTTTGAACCTTCTCATCTCAGAATGTAGTTAGTGTGTGTGTGTGTTTGAGCAAGCTTGCGTAACTGTGTGTGTGTTTCAGGGGTATGCTCCGGTGATGTACAGCGCCCCCTCAGGGAAGGTGGAGATAAAGATGGAGAACATGTCTCCTGCTGATCCCCTCCTTGCCCATCCACCACCCCAGGTCAGTCCTCAATCACACTCTGACACACACAACCTCTCACATACACATACACCCTCTCTGACATTGTCGTCCTCAACCCCCTCCCCCTCCCCAGGCCTCGTCGCCCTTCGCGCCCGCCTACCAGTTCAACATCGACACAGGAAAGAACGCCACCACCAACTTCCTGTAGAACGCCTCCCAACGGTCCAATCAGGAGCGGCCTTAGTAATGTTGCCACGGCTCCGTCCCAATACAGCTCAATGGCTTCCTTTTCTCATCTCCTTGACTGTGACCACTTACAGTGGCTTGCGAAAGTATTCACCCCCCTCGACATTTTTCCTATTTTGTTGCCTTACAACCTGGAAATAAAATGGATTTTTTTTGGGGGGGGGGTTGTATCATTTGATTTACACAACATGCCTACCACTTTGAAGATGCAAAATATTTTTTGGGGTGAAACAAACAAGAAATAAGACAAAACTGAAAACTTGAGAGGGCATAACTATTCACCCCCCCAAAATCAATACTTTGTAGAGCCACCTTTTGCAGCAATTACAGCTGCAAGTCTCTTTGGGTATGTCTCTATAAGCTTGGCAAATCTAGCCACTGGGATTTTTGCCCATTCTTCAAGGCAAAACTGCTCCAGCTCCTTCAAGTTGGATGGGTTCCACTGGTGTACAGCAATCTTTAAGTCATACCACAGATTCTCAATTGGATTGAGGTCTGGCCTTTGACTAGGCCATTCCAAGACATTTAAATGTGTCCCCTTAAAACCACTCAAGTGTTGCTTTAGCAGTATGCTTAGGGTCATTGTTCTGCTGGAAGGTGAACCTCCGTCCCAGTCTCAAATCTCTGAAAGACCGAAACAGGTTTCCCTCAAGAATTTCCCTGTATTTAGCGCTATCATCATTCCTTCAATTCTGACCAGTTTCCCAGTCCCTGCCGATGGAAAAACATCCCCACAGCATGATGCTGCCACCACTATGCTTCACTGTTGGGATGGTGTTCTCGGGGTGATGAGAGGTGTTGGATTTGCGCCAGACATAGCGTTTTCCTTGATGGCCAAAAAGCTAAATTTTAGTCTCATCTGACCAGAGTTCCTTCTTCCATATGTTTGGGGAGTCTCCCACATGCCTTTTGGCAAACACCAAATGTGTTTGCTTATTTTTTTCTTTAAGCAATGGCTTTTTTCTGGCCACTCTTCCGTAAAGCCCAGCTCTGTGGAGTGTACGGCTTAAAGTGGTCCTATGGACAGAAACTCCAATCTCCGCTGTGGAGCTTTGCAGCTCCTTCAGGGTTATCTTTGGTCTCTTTGTTGCCTTTCTGATTAATGCCCTCCTTGCCTGGTCCGTGAGTTGGTGGGCAGCCCTCTCTTGGCAGGTTTGTTGTGGTGCCATATTCTTTCAATTTTTTAATAATGGATTTAATGTTGCTCCGTGGGATGTTGAACATTTCGGATATTTATTTTTAACCCAACCCTGATCTGTACTTCTCCACAACTTTGTCCCTGACCTGTTTGGAGAGCTCCTTGGTCTTCATGGTGCCGCTTGCTTGGTGGTGCCCCTTACTTAGTGGTGTTGTAGACTCTGGGGCCTTTCAGATCAGATGTGACAGTTTTTTTTTTAACCTTTTTCCTCCAAACATAACAATGGTCATTATGGCCAAACAGTTCAATTTTTGTTTAATCAGACCAGAGGACATTTCTCCAAAAAGTATGATATTTGTCCATGTGCAGTTGCAAACCGTAGTCTGGATTTTTTATGGCGGTTTTGGAGCAGTGGCTTCTTCCTTGCTGGCTGAGCGGCCTTTCAGGTTATGTCGATATAGGACTCGTTTTACTGTGGATATAGATACTTTTGTACCTGTTTCCTCCAGCATCTTCACAAGGTCCTTTGCTGTTGTTCTGGGATTGATTTGCATTTTTCGCACCAAAGTACGTTCATCTCTAGGAGACAGATCGCGTCTCCTTCCTGAGCGGTATGACGGCTGTGTGGTCCCATGGTGTTTATACTTGCGTACTATTGTTTGTACAGATGAACGTGGTACCTTCAGGCGTTTGGAAATTGCTCCCAAGGATGAACCAGACTTGTGGAGGTGTACACATTTTTTTCCTGAGGTCTTGGCTGATTTCTTTTGATTTTCCCATGATGTCAAGCAAAGAGGCACTGAGTTTGAAGGTAGGCCTTGAAATACATCCACAGGTACACCTCCAATTGACTCAAATTATGTAAATTAATCTATCAGAAGCTTCTAAAGCCATGCCATCATTTTCTGGAATTTTCCAAGCTGTTTAAAGGCACAGTCAACTTAGTATATGTAAACTTCTGACCCACTGGAATTGTGATACAATGAATTATATGTGAAATAATCTGTCTGTAAACAATTGTTGGAAAAATTACTTGTGTCATGCACAAAGTAGATGTCCTAACCGACTAACCAAAAATGTGTGGAGTGGTTGAAAAACGAGTTTTAATGACTCCAACGTAAGTGTATGTAAACTTCCGACTTCAACTGTATATATATCGTCTGCATCCCCCTAAAATAAGGCACATTTTGGTATTTAAATATCAAATCCTATTTTTAATTCATTTTTTTGTTGTCTTTTAAACAATGAAGTACTCCTGAAGGTTTTACAGACAGTGGACACGTTAGAGTGGATCACTTTTGTCAAGTCGGTGACCATCGTTGATCACCCCCTTTCAAAGTCTGTTGCATTATCTGGATAAAAATTGTCCGACTTGTGCTTACATGTCGACTGCATGAACCTTACAAAAATTATGTGATCAAAGATCATGAAGTTTTCACTGCAGTCGACTGCAAGTTACTGCAGTTGCTCTTCACCATCTTCATCCTGCAGCCATCACCTGCATTGTGGGAGGCTCTATTGTCAACCAATCATCAGGGTGTTTTTGTTTGACCCACGCGAACGTGACCAAAGACATGACTGAAACAGGAACCAACTTTGCCTCGATTTATGTATACAGTGGATATATACTAAATGAATGTGATACACACGTGATTTCAATTTATGAGTGTGTGATATGAGAGTTGGACACTAGATTATTTTAACATGATCAAGAAATACCTTCATAACAATGGCAACACTGCTATGTTCATCTGAGCCTTGTTGTAAAACCATGTGTCCAACTTTTGGCTGTCGCAGTTTCACCTCCCCGACTTCATTCCTCAACTTTCTACAGTCGTTTGCTTAAGCCTTACCACTCAAACGCACCCAGTGCCTTCATCTCCTCTACCAAGGGGAGATTTTCCTGGGGTGTATTCATAAGTGCACAATGAAGAAAACCGTAGCAAAACATTTTACAATGGAAATAAGCATTTATTTTTGGGACAAATGTAGTTAGTCCCTACCCGTTTCGACCTGGTTGCTTCAGTTAGGTTCCCTGGTAAGGTCAGGGGGTGAGGAAAATGAATTCTACATTATATTCAGGGATGGGGCATTTCCAGACCATGTAACCAGAACAGGAAAAACTCCTGGCCCTAGTTGGACAAGGGGAGTATCTCAATAGGAGAAGGTCAGATGCCGCTTGATCCAGCTCGACCTTTTGGAGTCACTTAAAACGTTCTTACAGAACTGCTTTTCTCACTAACTGTCTCATTCCCCCCTACAAACACGCTTTAAAGGAATGTAACAATCTCAAATGTAGGTAATAGGACGTATGTATCCGTTTGTTGTATTTGATAACTTCTTTGCATTGAATGCCGCCATAACTGGAGAGGAGTGAGAATGAAAGATCACTGTAGACATGACAAATATGATTTCCAATGCCATATCATTAGACCTTATGGAATGTTTCATTTGTTTTTATTCTATGAATATCAATAGCATTTATAGTACTATAGTTTGTAGGACATGCACATATCCACCTCAATAAACAGAAAACACCATACTCTGTCTGTCTATTTCCTTTAAAACAAGCTAATCACATCTGCTGTCAATTTTGTTTTCATTTTTTACATTTTAGTCAGTCATTTCGCAGACGCTCTTATCCAGAGCGACTTACAGGAGCATTACGTTTAAGTGCCTTGCTCAAGGGCACATTGACAGATTTTTCACCTAGTCGGGGATTCGAACCAACAACCTTTCGGTTACTGGACCAACCTCTTAACCGCTAGGCTACCTACACAAAATAACTGAGATCTTTATGAAAAAGGCAAATTTATTATGCAAAACGATACGAAAACATTTTCAAACAAAACAATGCTTTATGTACAAAGTCATTATTACAATCCTAGACCTAGATTATATACAAAACAAGGCCTTTCAGTTCCCATCCATCCACCTTCTCCATCCCTCACTCCTCTTTCCTCCTCTCCATTTCTCTCACTCGTCTCTCTAGCACCCTTACTTGATCCTCCAGGTCGGTCTTGTCACCCCCGGTGTCAGAATGCCCGATACCCAATAGGACGCAGACGCTCACCAGGCCGGCCAAACGCAGCGCAGTAGTCTCTGTTCCAGCGCTGCGGTCACTTAGGATCAGGCCGAACAGTCCTAAAACCACACCCAGCTTCAGTAGCCACAGGACCCTCCTCAGAGTGGACGCCACCAATCGGAAGGCCAGAGACAGCAGCCAGTAGCCAATGAGAGCCAGCAGAAGCCATTGACCGATATAGACCACAGCATCTGGGGTGATACTGTTAACAGGCATTTCAACTGGAGGAGAGAAAGAGAGAGATACATGATATTAGTGCATTTTCTGTCCTAGCATTCTTAAAATGCTCCCTTTACTTGTCTCCATTCCAAGACGTGGCACAAACGTAGTCTTTGTAGTATGTTGCTATGTAATTATTGTACCGGTAGTTATAGTCAAAGCCTAGTAGGTTACTGTTGGCAATGTGGAGAAAATGGTTTGCCCATCTGGCCCACACACACCTAATATAGGGCATGTCTGTATCAGTATAAAATACACCTGTCCACAACCTCAAACAGTCACACTCCAAACTCCACAATGGCCAAGACCAAAGAGCTGTCAAAGGACACCAAAAACAAAATTGTAGACCTGCACCAGGCTGGGAAGACTGAATCTGCAATAGGTAAGCAGTTTGGTTTGAAGAAATCAACTGTGGGAGCAATTATTAGGAAATGGAAGACATACAAGACCACTGATAATCTCCCTCGATCTGGGGCTCCACGCAAGATCTCACCCCGTGGGGTCAAAATGATCACAAGAACGGTGAGCAAAAATCCCAGAACCACACGGGGGGACCTAGTGAATGACCTGCAGAGAGCTGGGACCAAAGTAACAAAGCCTACCATCAGTAACACACTACGCCGCCAGGGACTCAAATCCTGCAGTGCGAGACGTGTCCCCCTGCTTAAGCCAGTACATGTCCAGGCCCGTCTGAAGTGCATTTGGATGATCCAGAAGAGGATTGGGAGAATGTCATATGGTCAGATGAAACCAAAATATAACTTTTTGGTAAAAACTCAACTCGTCATGTTTGGAGGACAAAGAATGCTGAGTTGCATCCAAAGAACACCATACCTACTGTGAAGCATGGGGTTGGAAACATCATGCTTTGGGGCTGTTTTTTCTGCAAAGGGACCAGGACGACTGATCCATGTAAAGGAAAGAATGAATGGGGCCATGTATCGTGAGATTTTGAGTGAAACCCTCCTTCCATCAGCAAGGGCATTGAAGATGAAACGTGGCTGGGTCTTTCAGCATGACAATGATCCCAAACACACCGCCCGGGCAACGAAGGAGTGGCTTCGTAAGAAGCATTTCAAGGTCCTGGAGTGGCCTAGCCAGTCTCCAGATCTCAACCCCATAGAAAATCTTTGGAGGGAGTTGAAAGTCTGTGTTGCCCAGCGACAGCCCCAAAACATCACTGCTCTAGAGGAGATCTGGATGGAGGAATGGGCCAAAATACCAGCAACAGTGTGTGAAAACCTTGTGAAGACTTACAGAAAACGTTTGACCTGTGTCATTGCCAACAAAGGGTATATAACAAAGTATTGAGAAACTTTTGTTATTGACCAAATACTTATTTTCCACCATCAAATGCCAATAAATTCATTAAAAATCCTACAATGTGATTTTCTGGATTTTTTTTCCTCATTTTGTCTGTCATAGTTGACGTGTACCTATGATGAAAATTACAGGCCTCTCTCATCTTTTTAAGTGGGAGAACTTGCACAATTGGTGGCTGACTAAATACTTTTTTCCCCCACTGTATAGGGCATGTCTGTCAGTGGGTAAAGTGCTCCCTTGGCAGGTCAGACTTTCATCCAGTTGTGTGTGTGTCTACAGAGAACAATTACAGTAAATTACAACATGAGTGTACCATTGTACTGTACATGGGTTTTGTGTTGATGTTGCACGATATGAGATCAATCAATAGATGACACAATAGACAACTGTCTGTTCCATTATTGAATAGTGCACTGGTACTAGCCCTGGTCCTGGGGAGCTACAGGTTGTGCAGGTTTTTGCTCCAGCCCAGCTCTAACACACCTGATCCAACTAGTCAACTGCTCATCAAGACATTGATTAGGTGTGTTAGTGCTGGGCTGAGACAAAAGCCTGCACAAGACATGCTTTAGCTCTATGGGAACAGTATTGGTGACTGACTGGAGTATTGCAATAGCTTTCCGGGCCTGTATTCATAAAGTGGGAATAGGAGTGCTGATCTAGGATCGGTTTTGTCTTTTAGATTGTCATGAATGATCCTAGAGCAGCTCTTTACCATCGATTCCTGCTGCCCTCAGGAACTGGGTGAGGTACTTCATAACCACATTCGCTCCAATGGCCGCTGCCTCAGCCAGATACCTGACCACCTGAAAGAAACACTGAAAGGAGGGGAGAGAACAGAGAATTGCTAGAGGGTCACTAAAGGGTTCCCGTATAGGCCGACCTGTTGTTACATGCACCTACCTAATTCGACAAAAGAACTGCCATCATTAGCCTAAGAATTTATGATTCGAACTACTGTTAAGTTGAACTTAGAGCAGGCTATTCTTTGTTCCTCACCTTCTGTGCAGTTTCAACGGACCGCGCCCCGACAAGGTGGACCAGGTAACCGTGCGCCTCCTCGGACAAATCCGTGAGTGTCTCCCGGAGGACTTGCACCATTCCCGGGGAATAGTTGAATGACTTCTCGAAACGACTATTTTCTCCCAAACAAGAAACTACCATGCTGCTCAGCACACACACGACGAAACACACTTTCATTTTTTTTCACTCGCTTTATGTAAAGTCAAACAATTAAAAAACATCTCACGTCTTTAAATTTAGTTGAATATGGTATGACTGCATAAACATATGCTGCAACAATCTAAACTAGACACTCTACGGACAGAAACATCGTGGATACAATGTAGCCTATGTCTTAACAATATGGTAAGAAAAAAAACCCATAGTCATAGTTTCCAGGCTATAGAAAGTAGGCAGGCCACTTCAAAATGTGCTACAGTAGTTGCCTCGCCCTTCTTTTTTAAGTTTTATTAGCGAATCGCAACCAACTGACAAGTGCATACACCTCCACCTAGTGTATTGGAGTGTGACGACCTCTCTAAACCACTATATTATCTTAACTAACCCTGGATTTCTAATCAAATGCAATACCTCCATACAAACCTCACTACTCCCATCACCCCCACCCAAAATACCACCCACTCCCGTCCAACTTCTCTGCCCCTGTCAAACAACCTCTCCCTTTCTACATGCATTTCACAAAATAGTAATACACGTTCAACCGTTTCCTCTACCATACAGCCATTACACAATCCAGTACCATGTTTACCTATCAATATCAAAAATGAATTCAATCCCGTATGCCCAAATCTCATCCTACACAACATAATCTCCTCCCTTCTGTTCCCATTATATGACACTATCTCCCGTACAGATTTCCTTGTACTATAAAAATGTATGCCCTTCCTACTTTCATCCCATTGCCTCTGCCAGCAATCTAACCCATTTTTCCGAATCAATGTTTTAATTTCTCCTCTACCCAACTGCACCTGTATATCCACAATATTATTTTTCACTGCTCTTTTTGCTATTATATCTACTATTTCACTTTCATAAACACCTGTATGAGCCAGAATCCAACAGAACTGAATTTCAATACTATTTCTTTGTAACCCCAACAACTGCATCATTATTTCTAACCATTAATCCTCACGTTCTTTCCCGATCTTAAACTACACAACACTGATGCAGAGTCCGAACATATTATACTCTTCTTGGTTGCATCTCCTCTATCCATTACAATCCAACTATTATCGCAACGTTTTCTGTTGAATATACAGACAAATCATTTGTTAGACTCTTGCATAGATTAACATCGATTTTAGAAATTAATACACATGCTCATGTCTTCCCATTCATCGGATCCTCTGAACCATATGTATACACTGCAAGACAAGAATAAAACTGATTACTAATATATTGATCCACAATTATTCCTACATTATCTTCTTCACACCACTGTTTATTTTCTTCCATCAGGCTAAAATCAAGTTACCTTGCCCTAGCCTTCTATTTGCAATTTAAATGAGGGTTTGCTTAGACTGGATGGATTCCTGAAACGTAGACGCCGTAAAACCTGCCCACGGGGTAGAAAAAGGGAAGTAGAGTACGCGCGCCACCTATTGTCAAGAAGTCGACATGAAATAGTTTATCCTGGGGCACGTTCAGCAGGACGCAACGTTTTGGAACGTTCAGATAGAAATAGGCCACGTAGAACAAACATGCCCCTGACATGCAGAATAAGGATTCACATCAGCTCTATTCATGGCATTTATATCTGCAACGTTCGACAACATTTGGCAGTTGACGGCCCCAAATGTATTTTATTTTATACCAACCTTTATTTTCATACCCTCATCCTCTGTTGTTGTCTATTTGTTCGACCACTTCAAAATATGTATTAGTAGTAGGCTATTGCAGGACTATATATGACACACAAAATAACTAAAATAACTGTATGAACAAAATAAGTCAAATCAAAGTTTATTTATTCAAGCGTTATCATGGGCCCTGGTCAAAAGTAGTTTATTTTATTCCCTATGGCCCTGGTCAAAAGTAGTGCACTATGTAGGGAATAGGGTGCCATTTGGAACACAAATCAGGGGCTTCTTCCTTTACTTGTTCCTCTGGGCTTGGGCCTTGCAGGTCAGGTAGGCCAGCTTGGTGGTGAGCTGCTCGGTGAAGAGGGGGTGGAACGCCAGCATGATCCTCAACATGTTGCCTTTACGGGCCTCGTCCACCGGAGTCTGGCCCCAGATATCTATCTCCTGGGTGGGAGGGGAGGAGAGGAAAGAGAGAGGGAGGGCGGGGTGGGAGAGAGAGGGAGGGAGATGGTGGGAAAGGGAGGAGGGGAGGGAGAGAGAGAGACATGGATCAATATTTCTATAACAAGAGTGGCATTTTATTTTTTTATAATGAAAGCAGGACTCAAAATGATTCATGTTAATGAATAAGGAGGAGTTACTCACTGCAGCAGCTCCACTCCGATCCTCACTGCAGGCATAGCCAGCGACGCCTCTCTCATCCTCAGGAACTTTATTACCTCATAATGCCTGAGATGCAAATGTCAGCCACCATTATTTGGCTTTAATGTGTGTACTTTCAATGTTGTTATATTAGTCCACTTCTAGACATATTCCAGGCAGGCTACTTACAATGACGCTTTGACAAAGTAGAGTAGGGTTAGTGGGCTACCTGTTGATGATGGCCAGGCGCAGGGGTGTGTTTCCGAAGCGGTCTTTCAAATGCTGGGAGGCTCCTTTGGCCAGCAGGTACTTGACCATGTCCAGGTTACCGATCTCACAGGCCTTCAGCAGGGGCTTGGTGCCGTCATAGTCCCCACAGTTCACATCCATCTGAGAAGGAGGGAGAGAAGGAGATGGAGTGTATGCAAGACAAGTGTGTGTGAGAGAAGAAAATGTACCGAAATAAAAACACACACACACTACTGCCCACATTTTCTAGGATCTCCTGGAGCGAGAGGAAGTCGTTGCTCTCGACAGCTCCATTAGCGAAGGAGGGCAGCAACTCTCCCAACAGTCCCTTTCGCTCCTGAAGGAAACACAAAGAGTTGAACCAGGTGTTTATCATCATGGAATAGGTGTTCAAGTCAGGTATAACATCAATGAGACATGGGCAAATGGGTATATCCAAATGATAGGTAAACTCATGTTTGGGCAGTTAGCTAGCTAGCTCAAATCTATGGCCTTTCCTCTATGTCCTTGTTACGCAGCCAGCTGAGCTCTAGGACCTTGCCCAGCCATTGCAAAAACTTCTTGTCCCGGATCACAGGGCCTGCGATGACGATGGGTTTTAGGCTGAGATCCGTAGCTGGGGTTCTCTCCATAGCTGTGACAAAGAGCAGGTGGTGTGTATTATGATAGATAAACACGCAGAATGGGTAAAATATAAAAGCTACCGGGCTATCTAGCTACTCTGCTAACGTTAGCTAGCTAGCTACAGTAGCACATCAAGTTCAGGTAGCTAGATAATTGCAGCACTTAGCTACATTCCCTCTGCATATTGAAGTGGTGAACAAACTAAATTAGCTAGCCACCTTTCTATAGTATCAGCAGATATGTGTTGTATGGACTTAATTCGTTGTAATTACTCTTTAAACAATGAACAGTTCATGTAGCTAACTAGGTTGCTCATCCAAGTTATTAGAGCTTGTCAACCCAACCAATACAACGGTTGGACGGCGCGCGAGACAGACAGATTTTTTTTGTTGCTTTTGTCTTATAACTGATCATGTCCACTAGGTGGTAGCAAAGCCTTATATTAATCTAATACAAGCCTCTTTTGGGGGCGCAAAATGACAAATGTGCATACACCAGATACAGTAGATTAAATTCACTATTTGTAAAGACCTTGAGTTGTTTAGGCAGGAAAACAAAAGCTCACCCTGTTGCTGTAAATTGTCAGTGAAAGCAATGGGATGTTGACGACCATGATGATGGTATATTTTTGGCCGTTAGGCAGAAGTCTTCCGTGGACTGAAAATTCATTGGCAGAAAGAACAGATAGATATGTAGCTATCAATATCAAAAATGAATTCAATCCCGTATGCCCAAATCTCATCCTACACAACATAATCTCCTCCCTTCTGTTCCCATTATATGACACTATCTCCCGTACAGATTTCCTTGTACCATAAAAATGTATGCCCTTCCTACTTTCATCCCATTGCCTCTGCCAGCAATCTAACCCATTTTTCCGAATCAATGTTTTAATTTCTCCTCTACCCAAATGCACCTGTATATCCACAATATTATTTTTCACTGCTCTTTTTGCTATTATATCTACTATTTCACTTTCATAAACACCTGTATGAGCCAGAATCCAACAGAACTGCATTTCAATACTATTTCTTTGTAACCCCAACAACTGCATCATTATTTCTAACCATTAATCCTCACGTTCTTTCCAGATCTTAAACTACACAACACTGATGCAGAGTCCGAACATATTATACTCTTCTTGGTTGTATCTCCTCTATCCATTACAATCCAACTATTATCGCAACGTTTTTTGTTGAATATACAGACAAATCATTTGTTAGACTCTTGCATAGATTAACATCGATTTTAGAAATTAAACACATGCTCATGTCTTCCCATTCATCGGATCCTCTGAACCATATGTATACACTGCAAGACAAGAATAAAACTGATTACTAATATATTGATCCACAATTATTCCTACATTATCTTCTTCACACCACTGTTTATTTTCTTCCATCAGGCTAAAATCAAGTTACCTTGCCCTAGCCTTCTATTTGCAATTTAAATGAGGGTTTGCTTAGACTGGATGGATTCCTGAAACGTAGACGCCGTAAAACCTGCCCACGGGGTAGAAAAAGGGAAGTAGAGTACGCGCGCCACCTATTGTCAAGAAGTCGACATGAAATAGCTTATCCTGGGGCACGTTCAGCAGGACGCAACGTTTTGGAACGTTCAGATAGAAATAGGCCACGTAGAACAAACATGCCCCTGACATGCAGAATAAGGATTCACATCAGTTCTATTCATGGCATTTATATCTGCAACGTTCGACAACATTTGGCAGTTGACGGCCCCAAATGTATTTTATTTTATACCAACCTTTATTTTCATACCCTCATCTTCTGTTGTTGTCTATTTGTTCGACCACTTCAAAATATGTATTAGTAATAGGCTATTGCAGGACTATATATGACACACAAAATAACTAAAATAACTGTATGAACAAAATAAGTCAAATCAAAGTTTATTTATTCAAGCGTTATCATGGGCCCTGGTCAAAAGTAGTTTATTTTATTCCCTATGGCCCTGGTCAAAAGTAGTGCACTATGTAGGGAATAGGGTGCCATTTGGAACACAAATCAGGGGCTTCTTCCTTTACTTGTTCCTCTGGGCTTGGGCCTTGCAGGTCAGGTAGGCCAGCTTGGTGGTGAGCTGCTCGGTGAAGAGGGGGTGGAACGCCAGCATGATTCTCAACATGTTGCCTTTACGGGCCTCGTCCACCGGAGTCTGGCCCCAGATATCTATCTCCTGGGTGGGAGGGGAGGAGAGGAAAGAGAGGAGAAGAGAGAGAAGGACACGAGAAGAGAGGTGAGGTAAGGTGGAGGAGTGGATCGAGCTGGTAGGTGAATTTGGAAAAAAGGACATTCATTTCAATTGTCAGATTTAGTGGTGGTATGTTGAGGATGCTGCTGAAACCCTAAATGTAGAGTAAAAACATGTAGGATGCATAACAGTCCAGTTGCTACAGTGCTTTGGTGAAGATTCAATTACTACCTCTTCTACCTCTCCTACCCCACCCTGAGATGAGCAGGGTCGCACTGTAGCAAAATGTTTCAAAACATTGTGCAATGGAAAACGTAAACAAGTGTTTCTTATTGGACAAGTTCAGATAGTACCTCCCCGTTTTGGCCTGTTTGCTTCCGTTTAGTGCCTGGTTCTTACCAGAGGGTGGCCCCATTCTGCCCCCCAGGGCTTCTTATACCTCACACCACTCCTTCTGTCTACCCCATTTGAATACATCAGGGCTGTATTCACTAGGCCCAAAATGGAAGCAAACGGGACGAAACTTTGAGGAACTGGGAGGGACTACATGAACTTGTCCAATAAGAAATGTTTGTTTTCGTTTTCAGTTGCTCAGTTTTGCTATGTTTTTCACAAACTAATATGACCCTGGTTCTTACCAGCGGGGTTGCCCCATACTGCAGCAGCCTTTGGACCATGACTGTGTCCCTCATCTTGACAGCCAGGTGCATGGCCGTGCGTCCGTTGTAGTCCTTAGAGTCCATGTCCACTCCAGACAGAGCCCAGGCATGTAGCAGCTGGTAGTCCTTCTTTGCCACCACCCTGAGACAGAGGGAGGGGGTGGGGGAGAGAGGAGGCAGGGGGTGGGAGAGGGAGAGGGAGAGGGAGGGCGGGGTGGGAGAGAGAGGGAGGGAGATGGTGGGAAAGGGAGGAGGGGAGGGAGAGAGAGAGACATGGGTCAATATTTCTATAACAAGAGTGGCATTTTATTTTTTTATAATGAAAGCAGGACTCAAAATGATTCATGTTAATGAATAAGGAGGAGTTACTCACTGCAGCAGCTCCACTCCGATCCTCACTGCAGGCATAGCCAGCGACGCCTCTCTCATCCTCAGGAACTTTATTACATCATAATGCCTGAGATGCAAATGTCAGCCACCATTATTTGGCTTTAATGTGTGTGCTTTCAATGTTGTTATATTAGTCCACTTCTAGACATATTCCAGGCAGGCTACTTACAATGACGCTTTGACAAAGTAGAGTAGGGTTAGTGGGCTACCTGTTGATGATGGCCAGGCGCAGGGGTGTGTTTCCGAAGCGGTCTTTCAAATGCTGGGAGGCTCCTTTGGCCAGCAGGTACTTGACCATGTCCAGGTTACCGATCTCACAGGCCTTCAGCAGGGGCTTGGTGCCGTCATAGTCCCCACAGTTCACATCCATCTGAGAAGGAGGGAGAGAAGGAGATGGAGTGTATGCAAGACAAGTGTGTGTGAGAGAAGAAAATGTACCGAAATAAAAACACACACACACTACTGCCCACATTTTCTAGGATCTCCTGGAGCGAGAGGAAGTCGTTGCTCTCGACAGCTCCATTAGCGAAGGAGGGCAGCAACTCTCCCAACAGTCCCTTTCGCTCCTGAAGGAAACACAAAGAGTTGAACCAGGTGTTTATCATCATGGAATAGGTGTTCAAGTCAGGTGTAACATCAATGAGACATGGGCAAATGGGTCTATCCAAATGATAGGTAAACTCATGTTTGGGCAGTTAGCTAGCTAGCTAAAATCTATGGCCTTTCCTCTATGTCCTTGTTACGCAGCCAGCTGAGCTCTAGGACCTTGCCCAGCCATTGCAAAAACTTCTTGTCCCGGATCACAGGGCCTGCGATCACGATGGGTTTTAGGCTGAGATCCGTAGCTGGGGTTCTCTCCATAGCTGTGACAAAGAGCGGGTGGTGTGTATTATGATAGATAAACACGCAGAATGGGTAAAATATAAAAGCTACCGGGCTATCTAGCTACTCTGCTAACGTTAGCTAGCTAGCTACAGTAGCACATCAAGTTCAGGTAGCTAGATAATTGCAGCACTTAGCTACGTTCCCTCTGCATATTGAAGTGGTGAACAAACTAAATTAGCTAGCCACCTTTCTATAGTATCAGCAGATATGTATTGTATGGACTTAATTCGTTGTAATTACTCTTTAAACAATGAACAGTTCATGTAGCTAACTAGGTTGCTCATCCAAGTTATTAGAGCTTGTCAAACCAACCAATACAACCGTTGGACGGCGCGCGAGACAGACAGATTTTTTTGTTGCTTTTGTCTTATAACTGATCATGACCACTAGGTGGTAGCAAAGCCTTATATTTATCTAATACAAGCCTCTTTTGGGGGCGCAAAATGACAAATGTGCATACACCAGATACAGTAGATTAAATTCACTATTTGTAAAGACCTTGGGTTGTTTAGGCAGGAAAACAAAAGCTCACCCTGTTGCTGTAAATTGTCAGTGAAAGCAATGGGATGTTGACGACCATGATGATGGTATATTTGTGGCCGTTAGGCAGAAGTCTTCCGTGGACTGAAAATTCATTGGCAGAAAGAACAGATAGATATGTAGCTAGGCTACTCAAATTACACATAAAGACGTCTGCCCTTCTGACACCGGGGAGATGTTCAGAGAGAGGATAGAGGAGAGGGAGGGAGAGAAAACAATTATGTGTATTTATTTATAAAGAGCTTTTAATATTTGTCCATCAAAAATCAAAACAAATGCAGGAATGTAGTGAATAAGTAAGTACGTCAATGTAGAGAGCGTGAAAGAAGGATAGGGGGAAAAAAGGAGGATAGGGAGGGTGGATGGAAAAAGAGAGAGAGGTGGATTGTGTGTGGGTGTCTGTGTGGGAGGGAGAGTGTGAGATGGAATGGAAGAGGGGGTCAGGGAGGAACAAAACAATGAGTTCCTTTTTTGGATCATCTGGAGTCAGACTCCATCAAAGCAGTGAACGCTGCCGTTCATGCTCAGCCACTCCACTATCCTGAAACCCTGTCTCCCTCCCAAATGGCACCCTATTCCCTATATAGTGCATTACTTTTGACCAGTAGTGCACTATATAGGGAATAGGGTGCCATTTGGGCCACATCCCATGTCTCTGAAAGTCTCTGAAAGGAGAGACTGAGGGAACAGAACAGGAAGAGATGAGGGAGGTCAGAAGGTCGGCAGCTGGACGGCCCAGTCACAGTGTGTGTGTGTGTGTGTGTGTGTGTGTGTGTGTGTGTGTTTCGAATGGATGGAGATGAGAGAGTGGAACCTCTCTGGCCTAGTGCCTAGAATGGGAGAAAAGGCTTAGATTCGAAAGATACCAGAAAGTGTCCTGTACATGGGAGCCAGCGAAAATGAAGCCAAACTGTTCCAAATGGTTTCATTCAGTTCCATCCATTCACTTGAAGTTCCATCTAGCTCCCAGAGCTGATACATAACCTGGTTACAGAAACACTTCCTGGAGAATCTTAAGATAACCTTTTGATGACATTGCTGTCTAAACCTTCTTCATGTTGTTCTATCATTCTAGGTATTCTAGCCTCCTGTCCAGGGGGTGTACTTGTACATCAAGCTGCCTCACGCTGCAGAAACAGGAGAAAGGCTCCTGCCCCTATGGGCCGTTCTGGCTCGGACAAGGCTTATTTGTGTTCTAGAGAGAGAGAACACTTTGTCCTGAAAATCCGGAGAGGAGATGAGCGGGACTCACTATCAGAACAAGTTATGTTACAAATGCATTTTGAAGAACAGTATTTTTGATATAAATGATTTTATTTAGGTAAAAATATACAAAACAAATGAGGAATTTAGGGAAAATTAAACCATTATTTAGCACTGCATTGTAGTAAAACACTGCATACTATGGAATTGCATCCATATCAATTCCACAATTTCATGTTACACATTCAAAGACATAACATCAAGCCACAATGGTAGAAACTTAAACAAACCATCTGTGGCGGACAAATCATCATTATCATAACAGGGGAATTGGTGGAAATCTGTCTGCAGCTGTAATTGGTCAGTTGAAGTCGGGGGCAGTGACCATTATGGGAGTCGAGGCAACATCTTGATTGAGAGACTGGAAGAGAGAGAAAGAGAGAGAAAGAGGAGAAAGAGGAAGGGAGAGGAGAAAATAGATAGATTAACTACTCAATTGCCTGACTTGTGGCATTCTCTGTGCATTTACACTATCTTGTAAATATTTTATTTGTATGGAAACAATCTCTCCAAAAATATGGGTGTTGTTTTAATCCCCTTTTCATTTAGTTTTGATTCTATCGTACAGTGAAATGCTTACAAGCCATTAACTAACAATGCAGTTTTAAGAAAAATAAGTGTTAAGTAAAAAATAGATAGCTAAAAAATAAAAATAATTAAAGAGCAGCAGTAAAATGACAGTACCGAGGCTATATACAGTACCAGTACATAGTCAATGGGCAGGGGCACAGGTTAGTCGAGGTAATTGAGGTAATATGTACATGTAGGTAGAGTTAAAGTGACTATGCATAGATAATAAACAGAGAGTAGCAGCAGCGTAAAAAAGGGGGTAGCCATTTGATTAGCTGTTCAGGAGTCTTATGGCTTGGGTTCAGAAGCTGTGAAGAAGCCTTTTGGACCTAGACTTGGCGCTCTGGTACCGCTTGCCGTGCGGTAGCAGAGAGAACAGTCTATGACTAGGGTGGCTGGAGTCTTTGACAAATTTTAGGGCCTTCCTCTGACACCGCCTGGTATAGAGGTCCTGGATGGCAGGAAGCTTGGCCCCAGTGAAGTACTGGGCCGTATGCACTACCCTTTGTAGTGCCTTGCGGTCGGAGGCCAAGCATTTGCCATACCAGGCAGTGATGCAACCAGTCAGGATGCTCTCGATGGTGCAGCTGTATAACTTCTTGAGGATCTGAGGACCCATGCCAAATCTTTTCAGTCTCCTGAGGGGGAATAGGCTTTGTCGTGCCCTCTTCACGACTGTCTTGGTGTGTTTGGACCATGATAGTTTGTTGGTGATGTGGACACCAAGGAACTTAAAGCTCTCAAACTGCTCCACTACAGCCCCGTCGATGAGAATGGGGGCGTGCTTGGTCCTCCTTTTCCTGTAGTCCACAATCCTCTCCTTTGTCTTGATCACGTTGAGGGAGAGGTTGTTGTCCTGGCACCACACGACCAGGTCTCTGACCTCCTCCCTATAGGCTGTCTCATCGTTGTTGGTGATCAGGCCTCCCACTGTTGTGTCGTCGGCAAACTTAATGATGGTGTTGGAGTCATGCCTGGCCATGCAGTCATGGGTGAACAGGGAGTACAGGAGGGGACTGAGCACGCACCCCTGAGGGGCTCCCGTGTGGAGGATCAGCGTGGCAGATGTGTTGTTACCTACCCTTACCACCTGGGTGCGGCCCGTCAGGAAGTCCAGGATCCAGTTGCAGAGGGAGGTGCTTTGAGGGCACTTTGGTGACCGTACATACATACCCCAACCAGAAGCCATGGATAACAGGAAACATCCGCACTGAGCTGCCACTTTCAAGGAGAGGGACTCTAACCCGGACGCTTATAAGAAATCCCGCTATGCCCTCCGACGAACCATCAAACAGGCAAAGAGTCAATACAGGACTAAGATTGAATCGTACTACACCGGCTCTGACGCTCGTCGGATGTGGCAGGGCTTGAAAACTATTACAGACAAAAAAGGGAAGCACAGCCGCGAGCTGCCCAGTGACACAAGACTTCCAGACGAGCTAAACCACTTCTATGCTCGCTTCGAGGCAAGCAACACTGAAGCATGCATGAGAGCACCAGCTGTTCCGGATGACTATGTGATCACGCTCTCCGTAGCCGATGTGAGTAAGACTTTTAAGCAGGTCAACATTCACAAGGCCGCAGGGCCAGACGGATTACCAGGACGTGTACCAACTGGCAAGTGTCTTCACTGACATTTTCATTTTCTGACTGAGTCTGTAATACCAACATGTTTCAAGCAGACCACCATAGTCCCTGTGCCCAAGGACTCTAAGATAACCTGCCTAAATGACTACCGACCCGTAGCACTGACGTCTGTAGCCATGAAGTGCTTTGAAAGGCTGGTCATGGCTCACATCAACACCATTATCCCAGAAACCCTAGACCCACTCCAACTTGCATACCGCCCCAACAGATTCACAGATGATGCAATCTCTATTGCACTCCACACTGCCCTTTCCCACCTGGACAAGAGGAACACCTATGTGAGAATGCTATTCATTGACTACAGCTCAGCATTCAACACCATAGTGCCCTCAAAGCTCATCACTAAGCTAAGGATCCTGGGAATAAACACCTCCCTCTGCAACTGGATCCTGGACTTCCTGACGGGCCGCCCCCAGGTGGTAAGGGTAGGTAACAACACATCTGCCACACTGATCCTCAACACGGGGGCCCCTCAGGGGTGCGTGCTTAGTCCCCTCCTGTACTCCCTGTTCACCCATGACTGCATGGCCAGGCACGACTCCAACACCATCATTAAGTTTGCCGACGACACAACAGTGGGAGGCCTGATCACCGACAACGATGAGACAGCCTATAGGGAGGAGGTCAGAGACCTGGCCAACAACCTCTCCCTCAACGTGACCAAGACAAAGGAGATGATTGTGGACTACAGGAAAAAAAAGAGGACTGAGCACGCCCCCATTCTCATCGACGGGGCTGTAGTGGAACAGGTTGAGAGCTTCAAGTTCCTTGGTGTCCACATCACCAACGAACTATCATGGTCCAAACACACCAAGACAGTCGTGAAAAGGGCACGACAAAGCCTATTCCCCCTCAGGAGACTGAAAAGATTTGGCATGGGTCCTCAGATCCTAAAGAAATTCTACAGCTGCACCATCGAGAGCATCCTGACTGATTGCATCACCGCCTGGTATGGCAACTGCTTGGCCTTGGACCGCAAGGCACTACAGAGGGTAGTGCGTACGGCCCAGTACATCACTGGGGCCAAGCTTCCTGCCATCCAGGACCTCTATATCAGGCGGTGTCAGAGGAAGGCCCTCAAAATTGTCAAAGACTCCAGCCACCCTAGTCATAGACTGTTCTCTCTGCTACCGCACGGCAAGCGGTACCGGAGTGCCAAGTCTAGGTCCAAAAGACTTCTCAACAGCTTCTACCCCCAAGCCATAAGACTCCTGAACAGCTAATCATGGCTACCCAGACTATTTGCACTGCCCCCCCACCCCATCTTTTTACGCTGCTGCTACTCTGTTAATTATTTATGCATAGTCACTTTAACTCTACCCACATGTACATATTACTTCAACTACCTCAACTAGCCGGTGCCCCCGCACATTGACTCTGCACCGGTACCCCCCTGTATATATAGCCTCCCTACTGTTATTTTATTTTACTTCTGCTCTTTTTTTTCTCAAAACTTTTTTGTTATTGTTTTATTTTACTTTTTTATTAAAAATAAATGCACTGTTGGTTAAGGGCTGTAAGTAAGCATTTCACTGTAATGTCTGCACCTGTTGTATTCGGCGCATGTGGCCAATACAATTTGATTTGATTTGATTTGAATGCTGATCTGTAGTCAATGAATAGCATTCTCACATAGGTGTTCCTTTTGTCCAAGTGGGAAAGGGCAGTGTGGAGTGCAATAGAGATTGCATCATCTGTGGATCTGTTGGGATCTCGTCTGGTAGGCTCGTGTCAGTTGGAAGCTCGCGGCTGTGCTTCCCTTTGTATTCTGTAATAGTTTGCAAGCCCTTAGACATCTGACAAGCGTCAGAGCCGGTGTAGTACGATTCAATCTTAGTCCTGTATTGACGCTTTGCCTGTTTGATGGTTCGTCGGAGGGCATAGCGGGATTTCTTATAAGCGTCCGGGTTAGAGTCCCGCTCCTTGAAAGCGGCAGCTCTACCCTTTAGCTCAGTGCAGATGTTGCCTGTAATCCATGGCTTTTGGTTGGGATATGTACGTACGGTCACTGTGGGGACGACGTCATCGATGCACTTATTGATGAAGCCAGTGACTGATGTGGTGTACTCTTCAATGCCATCGGAAGAATCCCAGAACATATTCCAGTCTGTGCTAGCAAAACAGTCATGTGGCTTAGCATCTGCGTCATCTGACCACTTCTTTATTGACCGAGTCACTGGTGCTTCCTGCTTTAGTTTTCGCTTGTAAGCAGGAATCCGGAGGATCGGGTTATGGTCAGATTGGCCAAATGGAGAGCGAGGGAGAGCTTTGTACGCGTCTCTGTGTGTGGAGTAAAGGTGGTCTAGAGTTTTTTCCCTCTGGTTACACATTTAACATGCTGGTAGAAATGAGGTAAAACGGATTTAAGTTTCCCTGCATTAAAGTCCCCGGCCATTAGGAGCGCCGCTTCTGGATGAGCGTTTTCCTGTTTGCTTATGGCCTTATACAGCTCATTGAGTGCGGTCTTAGTGCCAGCATCGGGTTGTGGTGGTAAATAGACAGCTACGAAAAATATAGATGAAAACTCTCTTGGTAAATAGTGTGGTCTACAGCTTACATGAGATACTCTACCTCAGGCGAGCAAAACCTAGAGACTTCCTTAATATTAGATTTCGTGCACCAGCTGTTGTTTACAAATATATACAGACCGCCACCCCCTGTCTGTTTTATCTTGCCGATGCAGCGTATATCCCGCCAGCTGTATGTTATCCATGTTGTCGTTCAGCCACGACTCAGTGAAACATAAGATATTACAGTTTTTAATGTCCCGTTGGTATGATATCCGTGATCGTAGTTCATCTATTTTGTTTTCCAATGATTGTACGTTGGCTAATAGGACTGATGGTGGAGGCAGATTACCCACTTGACGTTGGATCCTTACAAGGCACCACGACCTACATCCTCGATATCTCTGTCTCTTTCTCATGCGAATGACGGGGATTTGGGCCTTGTCGGGTGTCTGAAGAAAATCCTTTGCGTCCGACTCGTTAAAGAAAAAATCTTTGTCCAGTACGAGGTGAGTAATCGCTGTTCTGATATCCAGAAGCTCTTTTCGGTCAAAAGAGACGTTACAAATAGCGCGAAAAAACACACACAATAGCACAATTGGTTAGGAGCCCATAAAACTGCAGCCATCTCCTCCGGCACCATTCTAATACCCCAGATAATAATGAATATTACAGTGATAAACAAAATATGAAAAGGGAAATATTTTACAACTTGATGTTAGATGGTTCCTAACCCGGAAAGTAGTCTATGGGCCAGGAGACACTGTAATCTGTAATCTACATGTACTTTACACACATAAACACACATTGTGGATTTATATAGTAAATTTGTAATGTATTTTAAGATGTATTGTTTATGCTGTTGTGTTTTACTGTGATGTCATTACTTGCTCTCAGTTTAACTTCGCTCCCTCTGTCGCTGCCCCCCTCTCTCTGTTTGGACCCCAGGAAGAGTAGCTGCTGAATGGGGATCCTAATAAATACTAAATATAATGTTCATGGTAATCTAGTAATCTAAATCTGTAAATTGAGTAAAATACTGACGTTCCCCTTTAATGTATTTTCCTGTCTGTCTTACTGAGTATGGTCCGTAACTCCTCCTCTCCTTGTACAGGATGTAAGAGAGCGTTGAGGAGATGGTGATCTGGATGATGGTGAAGAGAAGGAGGCATGACTTTACTCCGTAACTGAACATCTGAGGTAAAGAAAGGAGCAAGAGAGAGAGGGGGGGGGGGGAGCGACAGAGAGAGTGAAAGTTAAACTGAGAGCAAGTAATTACATCACAGTAAAACACAACAGCATAAACAATACATCATAAAATACATTATTACTCTATTATTACAAATTTACAATATAAAATACACAATACCACAACATTACAATGTGTTTGGAAGAACATTTTTCACACATAAATTGTAATATTGCATTGTGATGAAACAGATAATTTGAATATGAGGGACATATCATTTCAGAATGAATATAATTTCTCCATGAGTCATACACATGATGCATTACAAACATGATGGGGTGACAGTACACAGTGGCGACACACACACATAGACCAATGATGAAAGAGATACTGACAGTGGCGTAGTGCTGGTGGTCACATTCCAACTCCATGTAGTACGTTGGCTGGTCCGTGGGGTGGTTACACTGTGTCTCAGGGTTGTTGTGGAGATCGATGAAGTAGAAGATGAGGGCCAGGAGAGAAACCAAACTGACCACCAGTGTCACCACCATACACACACTCAGCTGGAGGGGCGGAGGGAGAGAGAAAGAGAGAGAGGGGGAGGGAGGAGAAAGAGATAGGGGTGGGAGTCAGGGGCCAGACCTCATTGATCATCATGCACATTTTTGTAATATATTGTGTGTTGTGTGTGTGACTATATGTGATAAAGTGAAAATCTGAGGCAGGATTCTGCTTATAATTTTGGTAGGCTATTTGTGAGTCAACTTGAAATAAACCCTTGTTCACCAGAATCAGTTTGACCGGTAGTAAGGAAATAAAAAAGCTGTGAAATGACCCAACATGTTGCTGATAAGATTTCAGTTCGGCTTGGATGCATATTTTATGTGGTTGAAATACTATCAGCTTGTATGACACTGATAAAGATTGCACCTCTACAGACTAACTGCGCATTCGCATTCTCTCAAGATGCTGAAAGAAATAAATCATATTTCTCCACTCTTGTTTCCAAGTCAAAATGTACATTTGGTGTATCAAAATAAACTGGCCTCCTTGAGACTAGTTGAGTATCTGGAGCATCAGCAATTGTGGGTTTGATTACAGGCTCAAAATGGCCAGCTGTTCTGCGAAGGGAGTAGTACACAGCATTGTACGAGATCTTCAGTTTCTTGGCAATTTCTCGCATGGAATAGCCTTCATTTCTCAGAACAAGAATAGACTGACGAGTTTCAGAAGAAAGTTACTTGTTTCTGGCCATTTTGAGCCTGTAATCGAACCCACAATTGTTGATGCTCCAGATACTCAACTAGTCTCAAGAAGGCCAGTTTTATTGCTTCTTTAATCAGCACAACAGTTTTCAGCTGTGCTAACATAATTGCAAAAGGGTTTTCTAGTGATCAATTAGACTTTTAAAATGATAAACTTGGATTAGCAAACACAACGTGCCATTAGAACACAGGACTGATGGTTGCTGATAATGGGCCTCTGTACGCCTATGTAGATATTCCATTAAAACCCAGCCGTTTCCAGCTACAATAGCCATTTACAACATTAACAATGTCTACACTGTATTTCTGATCAATTTGATGTTATTTATCGGACAAAAAAATTGCTTTTCTTTCAAAAACAAGGACATTTCTAAGTGACCCCAAACTTTTGAACGATAGGTGTAAGTATATTTAAAACCAAATAGTATTTTACTGGGTGACATTCACTTTTACTTGAGTCATTTTCTATTAAGGTATCTTTACTTTTACTCAAGTATGACAATTGAGTACTTTTTCCACCACTGCATAGGCCTATTTGAAGTCCCCACCTTGTGACTAAATCAAATCAAATCAAATCAAATTTTATTTGCCACATGTGCCGAATACAACAGGTGTAGACATTACCGTGAAATGCTTACTTACAGCCCTTAACCAACAAAGCATTATTTTTTAAATAAAAAAGTAATATAAAACAACAACAAAAAAGTGTTGAGAAAAAAAGAGCAGAAGTAAAATAAAATAATAATAGGGAGGCTATATATACATGGGGGTACCGGTGCAGAGTCAATGTGCGGGGGTCACCGGCTAGTTGAGGTAGATGAGGTAATATGTACATGTGGGTAGAGTTAAAGTGACTATGCATAAATAATTAACAGAGTAGCAGCAGCTACCCTCTGTAGTGCCTTGCGGTCGGAGGCCGAGCAGTTGCCATACCAGGCGGTGATGCAACCACTCAGGATGCTCTCGATGGTGCAGCTGTATAACTTTTTGAGGATCTGAGGACCCATGCCAAATCTTTTCAGTCTCCAGAGGGGGAATAGGCTTTGTCGTGCCCTCTTCACGACTGTCTTGATGTGTTTGGACCATGATAGTTCGTTGGTGATGTGGACACCAAGGAACTTGAAGCTCTCAACCTGTTCCACTACAGCCCCGTCGTATAGCGCCTCACAATCATCACACATAACATAGTCACTGTTATCATCCACTTTTACCACTTCACCAAATCTTTCCCAAACATTACTTTTCTGGCCTCCCTTCTCTGTATTTTTAACTCTCCATTTCACAGCTTTTCTCTTATTGAATTAAACTCCGGCATTGTCCTTTTTGCCTCCGTGGATCGATGTTAACTTTTTCTGCCTGTTCCCAAAAGCGTTTGGCGATTGGCTTGTAGACTATTTGGCACGCGTAAAGTTAGGCCCTAAAGTTTAGGCTTACGCACTAATGCAAAAAACATGAAAGGAAAACCTCAATGTAGCCTATAGGCCTAGATATAAATTGTACAACAATTATACATGTATAGATTTTTTTAATGTATTATTTTCTCTTTATTCAACCCGACTGCCACCTACCTGCCCTTCACTGCATAATATTTCATAACACTAAACCAATGATTTATATATAAACACTAGATGATTGGGGGTGCTGTTTTGAAGCCACCGTGCCTCCATCTTGGCACTCCCCCACTGTTGTAAAAAAATATTTTGGAAGCTGTAAAAATGCATTTATAATTGTCTACTTTAGTTTTTGCCACGTTTATTCTATTACAGACACCTTAATGCATACTTTTAAATGATATTATGTGAGCTAAACATACAAATAAAAAAAAATATTAAAATATTTTCCTTAAAGTATAATTATTTGAAAGTATTAATGTTACTGTCCCGACTAAAACAACTAAAATACTTAAATACATGCAATTTGGTCCTTGAAACATTTAAATGAAATAATGTAGAATTGCATCAATTCCTATAGAACTCGCCAGCTTGTAGTCCTAAAACCCGGAAATGATTCAGCCATCCCTATGCGAAAAATGAGTGGGGAAAGAATAGGGTTTTGGAATAAACACCGAAAATAAGGTCTGAGGTTAACACATGCTTAGGAGATCTTGTATGTTTTGTTCTATGAGATAATAGCAGTCAGTTAACATGACCTTTATGAATTATGAAGCCTTTATGTGCTTTTTGTGCTTTTTAAATTACATAAATTCTTCAAAATTCACAAAAGGTGACGTTAGCTGATGAAGATTATCTCATAGAACAAAACGTATAAGATCTCCTAAGCCTGTGTTTACCACAGACCTTATTTTCGACATTTATCCAAAAACGGCATTCATTTTCCCCATAGGCTTTGTCGAATGAACCATGGCGGAGTTAGTGCCTACAAAAAGACGCCATTACTATTTCTCTCCATAGATGACTGCTTTTCTGAGGAGTGCCAATATGGCCGACTGGTGGCTTCAAAGCATCTCATTGACCAATACATAGCATCAGCAATCCAGAATGTATATACATCATTGCCCTAAACCTGCGGAGACTGCGGGTTATGAGTCACCCCACGCATCACTAGTGTTAGTGTGTGTACGCGAGCATGCCGTGTGGTGGTATTCATACTCACCGATTTCATACTGCTTTGTTTCTCCATCACTATGGCAACGACTCCTGCTGCTATGAACTAGGCACAGCAGATATAAACAAAAACTCCCAATTGTCAATCAAATATCATAACCAATGGTTATATAAAAGAATGAGTGCATTATCGGATAAAATAATAATGAAATTGGATTGCAACACTTTTAAAAAACCTGGTAATTACAATAACCACCCCAAAACGTAATTCACTATCATCCAAAAATCATTCAGTACAGAGATTGAGTATGAGTGAAGGTTAGGTTACTAGGTTACCGATAGGCCACTCCACCAAGGCACCCCAAAGGTCACGACCTCTGTGAACTCAGTGGAGAGGAGGGGGATGGAGTAGGACATCACCATTACCCCAATCATTACCTGGGACACCTGACACACACACACACACACACACACACACACACACACACACACACACACACATAGATAGATAGACGAACACACACAATTACACACACAGACAGAAGCAAGCACACACACACACACACAGGCTGGTTTACTGTAAAGGCACTTTGTAGGAACTGATGATGTAAAAAGGGCTTTATAATATGATTGACTTATTGACACAAACACATTAGGTTCCAGGCGTTCACCACAAACCAATGTCTGACAGTCTGACATCTTTATAGAGACAGTAAAGATAATGAGTCATGTACAAATACATATTTGACTCTTAAATGCGTCAGTCAAACATAATGTGACTGAAAAAAAAAAACAGGACACTAAATGCTCAGGGCTGAACACAGCATGCTATAATAACCTTCCCCTATTGTAGCATCTCTATCTAAAAAAATTAAATAGTCTTTGACATTTGATGTTCACCCCCAATGCCTTCGCCTCGCCTTTCTGGATGCTCTCGCGCAGGGCCTGCCGTCTGTCGGTCAGTTTAGCCGCGTTGACATCCGTCGTCACGCTTACTGACAGGTCCCTCGAGACCGACACAGCCATCCTCGCGCTCTGGAGTCCTTTGGCAATGGGGATAAAGGAAAAGGACGATACGCAATGTGTGTTTAATTGTTAGACTATTAAAGATATTGACTTTACCAATATTTGTCATTAATGAAAATAATAACTCCCCAAAAAATCATGATTTTAGTTTCTGTTTAAAACAAATCTGTTTGGCTATACAAGTGGTCATTGAAGTTGCTATTCCATGATAAAATTCCATGGGATAGTTAGAAAGTGGGCTAAATAACCTGCCTTTATTTAAATTATTATTAATTAGACAACAATAGCGAAATCTCCAGGGTGGACCGTTATACAATCAAAAAGCCTATTAGGATAATCGACATATCTTACCTTTTCCTTTCAGATATAAAATCACGTTAGTATGCCTAATTCCACAAACACAACTTCTTGTTCCCTAATCCACAAATGAGAAAAATAGATTTCGCAACATAGCCAGTCCGAGTCCGTTCCTTAAACTTTTTTTGTCTCCGCCTGTTCTTGGCACGAACGAAAAATGAGTAGAGTAGTTAACTTTCACTGGTGCGAGCCTCCACCCCTAGCCCTACCCGGACGCAGACCCCTCGTCTTGGGAGACAGTGATACAATAGTCAATATAAACATTGGTAGCAACCGTTTTTGTGACAGTCTGGACCTCCACGGTCATTTTGCAACAAAAAAAGGACATTGTGCATACATCAGGTGCTGTTTTCATCAAGGTAAGTTCGTTTTTTAAATAGCTGATGAACTTACATAAATGGTGGATGAAGTTGCGTTGTCCTTCAGGGGGAATCGAGAGAATATGGCAGTTTAGCCCTATCGATGTGTAGGCAACGTAACAAGATTATTGAGAATTAAGAATGGTAAATAGGTCGTATACATTTGTTCTTAACTGACTTGTCTCATTAAATAAATGTTTAATCAAATGTAGGCTAATTAAATAAATAAAAGAAGACTATCTTTCTATTATGGCGGATATCTGGGCATGGTGCCCTGCCCAAACCCCCCTCACATTCACTTGTCCGTGAATGTCATGTTGCGTCAATACAGTACAGACCAGTCGGCTGGACCGTAGTTCATTGCTCTTTCCCCTGTTTTGTTTTTTCTTCCCTCTCTCCCCTCCTCTTCTTTCGTTTGCTTGGCCTAAACAAGCAAACCTTTCCCCACTTCGAATCCAGTAGAGCGCAGAGTGCATGCAGTGAGATCTGTGTTTGAAGAGCGTTCTATGCTCTGGAATAATGTTTGGTGTCTCTGGTCTGGAAATGAAATGTTCCCATGCCCCCATATCTTGATTTAATCGTAATAAACTCTCCCTCCCCGCCCCTTCCCTCTTCAAGTGCACTGTGCACATCTGCTTTTCATCCAGCAGCAACATTCCACTATATCCAATGGGGACTAGGCCTACTCTGACATGTGGTTTTCGTTCTCTCTCCTGGCTCTCGACTCCTCTCCCTCCCCCCTCCTGCCCTGTCGCTTCCCTTCCTTCCTTCCTTCCTTCCTTCCTCCTTCCTCCTTTCCTTCCTTCCTTCCTTCCTCACTTCATCCTTCATTCTGTCCTTCACTCCTTTGACGTCCATCCTGGCCTTCTTCTTTCTTCCGTTTATTCTTACGTCCTCCTCCTTCCTTCCTGCTCTTCCTCCTCTTTCCTTCTTCCTTCCTTTGCCTCCTTTCCTTTCTCCTCCCTTCCACCTTCCTCCTTCCTTCCTTCCTTCCCTTCCCTCCGTTCCTTCCTTCCTCCCATCCCTCCCTCCCTCCGGTCCATCCCCTCCCTCCCTCCCTCCCTCCCTCCCTCCCTCCCTCCCTCTCCTTTTCATTCTCTCTTGCTCTCCTTCTCGCTCTCCCCCTCTCTCAATCTCTCTCTCTCACTCGCTCTCTGGCTCTCTCTCTCTCTCTCTTCCAGTCATTCACACCACTCATCACCACAATCCAAATCCTTGTTAGGTAAAATTCACCTCTCCCCTCTTGCAGTTTCAGCTCAACATAAACATGCACATGCTTAAAGGGATACTTTGGGATTTTGGCAATGACTCTGGTGAAGGTACTCATTGCCAAAATCCTAAAGTATCCCTTTAATAAGCAGAGTTCAAATACCATGCTGGAAAGTATAGAACTCTTTGTGAATCGTCAGTCAAACCTTTTAACCCAAAATTGCAAACATACATTCTACTGTTTGTCTGCGTTCCAGTGCCTGTGATTACATTTTGTGTTTGCATTGGTTACGTTTTGTGGTTGATTCTGATAAGCATGTCTCCTCTCCTCTCTCCTTTCTCCTCTCTCCTCTCTTTTCTCTTTCCTCTCCTCTCTCCTCTCTCCTCTCTTTTCTCTCTCCTCTCCTCTCTCCTCTCTTTCCTCTCCTCTCCTCTCTCCTCTCTTTTCTCTTTCCTCTCCTCTCTCCTCTCCTCTCCTTTCTCTTTCCTCTCCTCTCTCCTGGACCAAAGACTTTCATTCAGGACGATGTCGTCCGCTGAGTCAGGAACAGGTGTTCCTAAACTACATCGCCTCTTCATCAAGTTTGACCCAGAGGTTGTAGCGGTAAGAGAATTGAATGAGTAATGGACATGAATTGAATGATTACTAAACATTCATACATATAGATAGTCAATACATCTACCAGACTGCTTTCTCCCTCCCGGTTGTACCATTCTGTTGTCTTAATAGTGGAATTCATATATCTGTCTAGTCACCATGCATCAGACACTTGCTCCACGGAGTACACACTTACTCACTCCCCCTCATGGACTTAAAAGCTTTGGACTGGTGAAAGCAAGGGCTAGAAGGACCGATTGTCCTCATCATACTTTTTGCACTTGTAATTTCTCATGAGCAAGACTGAATGGAACCGGGAGAAGGATAGAATCGGACCACAGAGCTTAGTTTTGTAATAATCATCACAGTTCCTTTAGATGCAGTTCTCTCTTTTTTCCACCAGGTGGTGTCGATACTCCTGGGTCTGTTCCAGGTGCTGTTGGCTGTGCCTGTGTACTACATGGACGTTGGCTTACCCAAACTACAACTCATGCTCCCTTTATTTATTGGCTTCCTGGTAAGATCCTAATTTGATAAAGCCATAAATATATTTGTTTCTGTCACAGGAGGCTGCTGAGGGGAGGACAGTTCATAATAATGTCTGAAACAGCGCAAATGGAATGGCATCAAACACATGGAAACCATGTTTTTTTTTTCTATATACTTTTTCCCCCTGACCATACCATCCCTACCCTAATTGAGGTAAACTAATGGACAACAATACTTCTACTCCTACTTACAGCTATTTCGCTCACATCTACCGTACCTGTAGTTAAATAATTCTACATTCCTAATTTCTTCTTTCTTCAAGTGCTGGATTTCCACCCACAGCGGCCAATCCACCATTCATTCTGATCTTAACTCCAACCCTCCGATATGCACAGATCCACATCTTTCCCAGTATAATGCATTTAGCTATTTCCTTTTGTAATACATCCCTCCATTTTACTATGATGTCTTACGAGGGTCCTGAACCTAACTATTTGTAACATTTCTACCGATATTGCCCTAAAAATAAATACTTTACTCAAAGTATAATGATATTTCCCATTGACTGATTGTGTTTTTTCAGATCCCCTAACAATACAGTTTGTAGGTCCATCTGAACCCTGATATTATGACATAACAACCATTCCTGGACCTGATTCCAAAAGCGAGCCACCGATGGACAGTACCAGAAAATATGTTCTATTGATTCTGTTTCCTCGTGGCAGTCTGCACAAGGCTGACTGTTCAATGCCCCATATACTGAATTGAGCATTCTTTTTGTAGCATGTATTTATATAATAGCTTAAATTGAAACGAAGGGATTGATGTGTCAATTGTTGTTTTATACATTGAGCTCCAAAAGTTTTGGGACGGTGACGCATTTTCTGTTGTTTTGTCTCTGTACTCCAGTGCTTTGGATGAGATGTGACACAATGTCTATGAGGTTAAAGTGCAGACTGTCAGCTTTAATTTGAGGGTGTTTTCATCCATTTCGGGTGAACCGTTTAGACATTACAGCAGCTTTTGTACATAGTCCCCCCATTTTAGGGGGACAAAAGTTTTGGGACAAATACACTTACAGTGCATTCGGAAAGTATTCAGATCCCTTTACTTTTTTCACATTTTGTTACGTAACAGCCTTGTTCTGAAATGGATTAAAAAAAAAAAAAAATCTCATCAATCTACACACAATACCCCATAAAGACAAAGTGAAAACGGGTATTTAGAAATTATAGGTACAAAAATTAAAATACAAATACCTTATTTACATAAGTATTCAGACCCTTTGCTATGAGACTCGAAATTGAGCTCAGGTGAATCCTGTTTCCATTGATCATCCTTGAGATGTTTCTACAACTTGATTGGAGTCCACCTGTGGTAAATTCAATTGATTGGACATGATTTGGAAAGGCACACACCTGTCTATATAAGGTCCCACAGTTGACAGTGCATGTCAGAGCAAAAGCCGTGAGGCCGAAGGAATTGTCCGTAGAGCGCCGAGACAGGATTGTGTCGAGGCACAGATCTGGGGAAGTGTACCAAAAAATGTCTGCAGCATTGAAGGTCCCCAAGAACACAGTGGCCTCCATCATTCCTAAATGGAAAAGGTTTGGAACCACCAAGACTCTTCCTCGAGCTGGCCACCCGGCCAAACTGAGCAATCGGCGGAGAAGGGCCTTGGTCAGGGAGGTGACCAAGAGCCCGATGGTCACTCTGACAGAGCTCCAGAGTTCCTCTGTGGAGATGGGAGAACCTTCCAGAAGGACAACCATCTCTGCAGCACTCCACCAATCAGGCCTTTATGGTAGAGTGGGCAAACGGAAGCCACTCCTCAGTAAAAGGCACATCACAGCCCACTTAGAGTTTGCCAAAAGGCACCTAAAGGACTCTCAGACCATGAGAAACAAGATTCTCTGGTTTGATGAAACAAAGATTGAACTCTTTAGGCTGAATGCCAAGCGTCATGTCTGGAGGAAATCTGGCACCATCCCTACGGTGAAGCATGGTGGTGGCAGCATCATGCTGTGGGGATGTTTTTCAGCGGCAGGGAGACTAGTCAGGATCGAGGGAAAGATGAACGGAGCAAAGTACAGAGAGATCCTTGATGAAAACCTACTCCAGAGCGCTCAGGACCTCAGACTGGGGTGAAGGTTCACCATCCAACAGGACAATGATCCTAAGCACACAGCCAAGACAACGCAGGAGTGGCTTCGGGACAAGCCTCTGAATGTCCGTGAGTGGCCCAGCCAGAGCCCAGACTTGAACCAGATCGAACATCTCTGGAGAGACCTGAAAATAGCTGTGCAGTGACGCTCCCCATCCAACCTGACAGAGCTTGAGAGGATCTGCAGTGAAGAACGGGAGAAACTCCCCAAATACAGGTGTGCCAAGCTTGTAGCGTCATACCCAAGAAGACTCAAGGCTGTAAGCGCTGCCAAAGGCACTTCAACAAAGTACTGAGTAAAGGGTTTGAATACTTATGTAAATGTGATATTTCATGTATTTTTTTTTATGTAAAAAAAACTTGTTTTCACTTTGTCATTATGGGGTATTGTGTGTAGATTGATCAGGGGGGGAAAGTTTTGGTCCAATTATTCATAGCATGCAATGACTACATCAAGCTTGTGACTCTACAAATTTGTTGGATGCATTTGCTGTTTGTTTTGGTTGTGTTTCAGATTATTTTGTGTCTAATAGAAATGAATGGTAAATAATGTATTGTGTCATTCTGGAGTCACTTTTATTGTAAATAAGAATAGAATATGTTTCTAAACACTTCTACATTAATGTGGATGCTACCATGATTACGGATAATCCTGAATGAATCGTGAATAATGATGAGTGAGAAAGTTACAGAAGCACAAATATAATACCCCCCCAAAAGTGCCAACCTCCCCTGTTCTTGTAATGGTGAGAGGTTAGCATGGGGTATGATATTTGTGCGTCTGTAACTTTCTCACTCATCATTATTCACGATTAATTCAGGATTATCCGTAATCATGGTAGCATCCACATTAATGTTGAAGTGTTTAGAAACATATTCTATTCTTATTTACAATAAAAGTGACTCCAAAATGACACAATACATTATTTACCATTCAATGGGCATAATAAATAGGTATGGTGACCATTATAAATAGGTATGGTGACAGAGGGCAACCTTGTTTTACGCCTCTTGACAATTCAAAGTTCTCAGAGCAGTAACTGTTATTTATTATTTTACATAAGGGATTGTTGTACATGACTTTTACCCATCTTATGAGAGAGTTGAAAAAATCCAGGGACTTATAAACAGATTATAGGCGTACTGTTTCAAATGCTTTCTCAAAATCTGCTATAAAGATTATACCTGGTTTCCCTAATTCTCATAGTTTTCCATTATTTCTAGTAGTTGTTTAATGTTGTCTCCAATAGACCTTCCTTTTAACCGTCTGATTGTGATGAATAATGTCAGGTAGCATCTCTTTTATTCTATCAGCAATACATTTTGCCAATATTTAAAAAAAATGTATTTGATACCATTACAACCATTCCGCTCCAGCCATTACCACGAGCCCGCACTCCCCAATTAAGGTGCCAAGCTTCCTGAGGTTTCTGTGTATTTTATGCATAGGCTATATGTTATATAGGGGACATCATTGGAGTGTTTGGTTTTCTTTTTTCACATCTGTAGCAATTGAAACAACATATTGTTTATACTTTCTTTTAAAGTTTGTGACGGCAGGATCGTTCGCCATCGCCTGTGAGAAGTCTCCCAGCAGAAAGCTGGTAAGAAATTACAACAGTCACGTGTTACATTGGAATGAACTGGTGTGATCATAATAATCTATTCCATTATTGAAAAGTCCACCTCGGTCCACCTGTACAGTAGACCACTTGTTGGGCTGAACATGTTGCCCATAGGCTACTGTGCAATGTATGTACCCTATTACGTGCATAAAAAGAAGATACATCCATTTATATAGCAACATTTTGGTCCAACACTATTTTTTCTTAGGAACAATAAAGTTGATCGTATTTCATTTTTGGGGCCAGGATATTTTCCAGTCTCTATTTACTCTATCATCTGTGTTGTGTCCTCCTCCCCAGCTGATGGGCTGTGCCTACACTAACGTGGCCAGCCTGGTGGCAGGCTTACTGGCTCTGTGTATGTATAGCGTCTCCCTACACTCCGTCCAGGGCTTTGCTGAACCCTGCACTCTGCCAAACATAGACCTGTACACAGGGGCTGCACACAAGTGCCCAGGAGAGTACCTGGAGGTAAGGAATGATTTGTGGGTATGTGGCCAGTTTGTCTTGTTTGCCCCTATGCTATTTCAGTGCCATGTATTGTGTGGCACTGTGTTTTTTTGGGGTTGTTGTTGATCCTTCCTTGTGTTTTTCTCTGTCCCAGGGGTTCTTCAGAAGTGTCACAGTCCTGCTCATCGTTTATGACCTGGGGGCTCTTATCCTCCACTCTCTCCTCTCCTTCTCCGCACTCAAGGGACTCAGAGTGGGACTGTGCCGAATGATCAATTAATCAATTACTCAAACTGATTAACTAATGGATTCTAGTTGAAAAACCTATTTTAGAAAAATATTGTTTAATATCAGTGACCAAGTTTGTTCATTTCAGGGGTTTGTTTGTTCCTTTCGAGCTTTACAATTGTTTGAGAAACATTTACATTTTAGTCATTTAGCAGATGCTCTTATCCAGAGTGACTTACAGTTAGTGAGTGCATACATTCTTTTTTTATACTGGCCCCCCATGGGAGTCGAACCCACAACCCTGGCGTTGCAAATGCCATGCTCTACCAACTGAGCTACATCCCTGCCGGCCATTCCCTTCCTACCGTGGACCAATTGTGCGCCGCCCCATGGGTCTCCCGGCTACGACAGAGCCTGGATTCGAACCAGGATCTCTAATGGCACAGCTAGCGCTGCGATGCAGTGCCTTAGACCACTGCGCCACTCGGGAGTTATTAATAAAATAATTTGTAAAAACTCTGTGGACTTCTGATGCTTATTTAGATTCAGGATTGTGTGTTTAGTGTAAGGTCACTGCTGGCTTTTTATAATAACCTAGAAATATCAGGAACAACATATTCTTTCCATACTGTTAGAATGTTTCACTTGTGGTTAGTCATTACTGGCAATATGTTTTATTAGTAAGCATTTATAGTGAGAGTCATGATGACAGGTATTGGGCATTGACATAATGTTCCACTTTTTCCAACCAGACTTCGTTTACTTTACTGGTTACCACAATACTGGCATTCATGGAATAATCCTGTCACGTAGGGCTGGGTTTCCCTTCAAATCAGCTGCGCGCTGGATGAAACCATTGCCCCAAGAAATGGATAAACTGTAAAAGAAAACTGTTCAAACTATCTAAAGATTTGCTTTCAGGTTCAAGAAATCAACATTTCTGTGGTAAAATCAGCAACATGATCACAATATATTTTCATTTTCTTTAGTTAGAAAGGTCATTACTGACACTGCATTTAATCACCCCGCACGGAAGCAGAATATGGGTCATTCCAAAAATGGCGGCGGGTTCTGTTAGTGTGAAGTGAAACTTTCCAAATATTGCTGATAAAACATAGCTATTCTTTAATCCATTTGAATGATTATCGTCGAGCAGATATTGAAGCAATTATGATTGGATTACTGCTGTACCTGACGTCAAGCAACACGATCGAATGACATCGTGATTTTGAGATCGCGAACGGTGGGCTTTCCTCAAAGTTGACGGTAGCAAGAGTGCCTTTCATTGAATGTGATCATAACGATTGTTGTTGTCATCCCTACACGGAACTCGGACAACCCGTTAAGGCTAGCTAGCTAGCCCGTTAAATTACGTTGGATTCTTCTTTTACCGGCTATTTTTTCTCAACCAGATTGCCTTGTTTGTAAATCGGGGTCAGGGCTCCGGTGCCCGTTTTACGTCATCCGTCAACCATAGGTTGATGCTCGTCAATGTTGTGTGCCCTGTTGCAACGAATTTCTTGATTTGCTAACAGCATAACGTAAGTAATTTTGCCCGCTAACTTGCCTATAATGTGATAGTCTGTATGCTTGCTGTGGCTAACTATAGCTGGTTGACAACAGTATTAGTATTGGTCAGCTGATGGCAAGCCATCAATCAAGATAGCTAGGGTGCGTTCAGCAGGGCACAATGTTGTGGAACGTTACAAACATGCCTCTCTGACATGTAGAATAAGGAACCACGACACTCAGCCCAGTCAAAGCGATTCTCTGTCCTGGCACCCCACTGGTGGAACAAGCTTCCCCCTAATGTCAGGACAGGGGAGTCTCTGCCCATCTTCTGCAAATGTATCTGTAACCCTACCTCATCAAAATAGTATCTTAAATAAGAAAACAATTCCCTACACTTGTCTTTTCCTGCTAGTACTGACTTCTCTGATAACGACTTTATTGAGGGAAAATGTACTTTCTACCACTGTGGTATGTTGTCTCACTTAACTATCTTAGGATGAATGTACTAATTGTATGTCTCTCTGGATAAGAGCGTCTGCAAAATAAAAAATAAAACAATAAAAATAGATCTATTAATGTTATTTCTAACTGCAACGTTCCACAACATTTGCCTACTGAATGTGGCCCATGTTTAATGACTTGGCAAAGATGTAGGTCAAATAGCAAGCAGATGAAGTAACTTAGGCCTGACCAGGATTTAGCCTGGGTCTGGTTTATCAAAGCATAAGATGTATGTAGTAGAGCTGGGACGATAAACTGAAAATCATAGACATATGAAATTTTAACACCGATCATACCAATCACTTATCGCAGCCATTTTGCTGATACCGTTCATTACGATAAGTAGCCTATACTAGAGAAATGTGAAGTTTGAAATTAAATACGTTTGCTAATATGGGTAATTTAAAGGATCATTCAAAAAAACTGTGGTGCAAATTAATGTTATAAATGTATCGTTCTATTTATCATTATCACATCAATTCAGGCAATTTATTGCGATATTGATTTTTGTTCATATTGCCAATCTCTAGTATGTAGCATCATGGTGGAACAATGCAACATTTTAGTGCTCACATATAACTGCCAATTCTGTTGTGTATGATAACGTTAGATTATAGTCTAGAAAATGATGATTTCCCATTTCATATTTGATCAGCCTGCCTGTTCAATTATCATTTTGTGTGGATCCATTTTGTATCCTGTCAGTTAGTTTCAAGTTTAATTTCTCAAATTATCTATGTTCAGTAAACTGATGACATTTGACATTGACAGCTCACTTTCTCCTCCCATCTGATTGACAGCTGTCCTGGCAAATCAATGGACAAGCTTCAGGACCTTAGCCAATCCGAGTTGGAGGATTTGCTGAACAACACAGAGCGGGTGGAGTCCATGGCATTGGAATCTGATGAGGTAAGCAATCACGTCTTTGCTTTGTCTTATTGTCTGTCTATTGTGTCTTAAATAGATTGAGATGTAGCCTGGTCCCAGATCTGTTTGTGCTCTAACCAACACCTATGGTCATCATGTTTGGCGTGACAATGACCACAGGAGTTTGCAAGACGGCACACAACCGATCTGGGACCAGGCTAGTCGAGATGCACCTCTCTTACTGAAATACCTCCAGTGTTTTGTATCTGAGTAAGGGATAATGAATAGCCAAGCTTGTCTATAGGCCTATCTCTGAGCTGAGGCCTTGTTTTTTCTGTCAGGTCACACGGCTTGTCTATTACTCAGAGTAGGCCCTAGATGAATGATTAATCTGAGGATGGTCATCTAGGTCTCGTCTCACTCTGACTAGTAGCGATGTCCAGCCTCATCCTGCCATCAACAGTTTCTTTTTTACAAGGACATATTGACTTGCTTCTCTTCCATCTTTGTCCATAGATCCAAAACACTAACCTTTGAGTTTGCATTGAGGTTAATTTGTTTGTCTTCGCTCTTATAATAATAATAATATGCCATTTAGCAGACGCTTTTATCCAAAGCGACTTGCAGTCGTGTGCATACATTTTTACGAATGGGTGGTCCCGGGTATCGAACCCACTACCCTGGCGTTACAAGCGCCATGCTCTACCAATTGAGCTACAGAGGACCCCTCTTCATGTGGGGAGTTATGTTCGCTAGATGCAAATGACCTGTCCCTGGCCCAACTCGTCTTGTTAGTTAAGCCATGTTTAGTTGCTGCTGTCGTGGCTAGCCAGGTCTGCCTAAAAAGCAGGGACTTCCTTGTTTAAATCAAGTTGAGATAAGAACATTGATAGCGATAAACACGTCACCAGGCAAACCTGTCCTTATTATAGTGTAAACAGTGTCAGTGTGCTAGCTTAGCATATAGCGCTGCCTCCCTGAACTACCCTCTGACTGGGCTTGAACCAGGGTCCTCTACCTCACCAACACACGTGACCGCCAGCTTGACAACATATGAACCAGTCGAGCTATAGAAAAGGATCCAATTCGATAGCACCATTGGCGACATTTTGAGCTAGCTGTGGAGTAAGCTCACGGCACGATCAAATCAAATCAAATCAAATTTTATTGGTCACATGCGCCGAATACAACAGGTGCAGACATTGCAGTGAAATGCTTACTTACAGCCCTTAACCAACAGTGCATTTATTTTAAACAAAAAAAGTAAGAATAAAACAACAACAAAAAAAGTGTTGAGAAAAAAAGAGCAGAAGTAAAAAAAGTGACAGTAGGGAGGCTATATATACAGTAAAATAAAGTGACAGTAGGGAGGCTATATATACAGGGGGGTACCGTTGCAGAGTCAATGTGCGGGGGCACCGGCTAGTTGAGGTAGTTGAGGTAATATGTACATGTGGGTAGAGTTAAAGTGACTATGCATAAATACTTAACAGAGTAGCAGCAGCGTAAAAAGGATGGGGTGGGGGGGCAGTGCAAATAGTCCGGGTAGCCATGATTAGCTGTTCAGGAGTCTTAGGGCTTGGGGGTAGAAGCTGTTGAGAAGTCTTTTGGACCTAGACTTAGCACTCCGGTACCGCTTGCCGTGCGGTAGCAGAGAGAACAGTCTATGACTAGGGTGGCTGGAGTCTTTGACAATTTTGAGGGCCTTCCTCTGACACCACCTGGTATAGAGGTCCTGGATGGCAGGGAGCTTTGCCCCAGTGATGTACTGGGCCGTACGCACTACCCTCTGTAGTGCCTTGCGGTCAGAGGCCAAGCAGTTGCCATACCAGGCGGTGATGCAACCAGTCAGGATGCTCTCGATGGTGCAGCTGTAGAATTTTTTGAGGATCTGAGGACCCATGCCAAATCTTTTTAGTCTCCTGAGGGGGAATAGGCTTTGTCGTGCCCTCTTCACGACTGTCTTGGTGTGTTTGGACCATGATAGTTCGTTGGTGATGTGGACACCAAGGAACTTGAAGCTCTCAACCTGTTCCACTACAGCCCCGTCGATGAGAATGGGGGCGTGCTCAGTCCTCTTTTTTTTCCTGTAGTCCACAATCATCTCCTTTGCCTTGGTCACGTTGAGGGAGAGGTTGTTGTCCTGGCACCACACGGACAGATCTCTGACCTCCTCCCTATAGGCTGTCTCATCGTTGTCGGTGATCAGGCCTACCACTGTTGTGTCGTCGGCAAACTTAATGATGGTGTTGGAGTCGTGCCTGGCCATGCAGTCATGGGTGAACAGAGAGTACAGGAGGGGACTGAGCACGCACCCCTGAGGGGCCCCCGTGTTGAGGATCAGTGTGGCAGATGTGTTGTTACCTACCCTTACCACCTGGGGGCGGCCCGTCAGGAAGTCCAGGATCCAGTTGCAGAGGGAGGTGTTTAGTCCCAGGATCCTTAGCTTAGTGATGAGCTTAGAGGGCACTATGGTGTTGAATGCTGAGCTGTAGTCAATGAATAGCATTCTCACGTAGGTGTTCCTCTTGTCCAGGTGGGAAAGGGCAGTGTGGAGTGCGATAGAGATTGCATCATCTGTGGATCTGTTGGGGCGGTATGCAAATTGGAGTGGGTCTAGGGTTTCTGGGATTATGCTGTTGATGTGAGCCATGACCAGTCTTTCAAAGCACTTCATGGCTACAGACGTCAGTGCTACGGGTCGGTAGTCATTTAGGCAGGTTATCTTAGAGTTCTTGGGCACGGGGACTATGGTGGTCTGCTTGAAACATGTTGGTATTACAGACTCAGTCAGGGACATGTTGAAAATGTCAGTGAAGACACTTGCCAGTTGGTCAGCACATGCTTGGAGTACACGTCCTGGTAATCCGTCTGGCCCTGCGGCCTTGTGAATGTTGACCTGCTTAAAAGTCTTACTCACATCGGCTACGGAGAGCGTGATCACATAGTCATCCGGAACAGCTGGTGCTCTCATGCATGCTTCAGTGTTGCTTGCCTCGAAGCGAGCATAGAAGTGGTTTAGCTCGTCTGGTAGGCTTGTGTCACTGGGCAGCTCGCGGCTGTGCTTCCCTTTGTAGTCTGTAATAGTTTTCAAGCCATGCCACATCCGACGAGCGTCAGAGCCAGTGTAGTATGATTCAATCTTAGACCTGTATTGACTCTTTGCCTGTTTGATGGTTCGTCGGAGGTCATAGCGGGATTTCTTATAAGCGTCCGGGTTAGAGTCCCGTTCCTTGAAAGCGGCAGCTCTACCCTTTAGCTCAGTGCGGATGTTTCCTGTAATCCATGGCTTCTGGTTGGGGTATGTACGTACGGTCACTGTGGGGACGACATCATCGATGCACTTATTGATGAAGCCAGTGACTGATGTGGTGTACTCCTCAATGCTGTCTGAAGAATCCCGGAACATGTTCCAGTCTGTGCTAGCAAAACAGTCCTGTAGCTTAGCATCTGCGTCACGATCTTATCTCTGTTACACTAGCATAGCCGGGACACTGGTCTCAGAAGGGAGGACCTGGCAGCTTCTGTCAAACGGACTAATACTGTATGGCAATGTCATCATTCAACGTATTGCCATGATATCTCAATCATAGTCACGTACAGGGGGAGAGAGTAGTGCCTTGAGCAGAAGTAGAACCCAGGTCCCCTGACCCCAAGACAAACGCACTATCCACAATCCCAATAACGTTATCCCAAATGGGAGCGATCATAACATGCTTATCAAGGCTAGGGTCATTACGATCGTTATGAGAATTAGCTAGCTATGTAAGTTAGTGTACAATGTCTGTTGTACATGTTCACTGTCAAATAATCACATAAAAAAAATACAGTTGAGTATTATTGACTCCTCTTCCTCCTCCTCGTCTATAGATTCAGAACATCCAGCTGGAGAGGGAGATGGCGCTGGCCTCCAACCGTAGCCTGGCAGAGCAGAACCTGGACATTAAGCCTCGCCTGGAGAGACAGAGAGAACATCTAGTGGAGAGATACTCTGAACTGGAGGGAGTCAGAGATACCTACAGACAGCACTGTGACCAGAAAGGTAAGGGAGAGAAGGATGAGAGAACACCTAATGGAGAGATCCTCCAGTTCAGAGTATGTCAGAGAGACCTACAGACAGCGCTGTGACCAGACCGGTAAGGGAGGGAGGAATGGACTGAGGAATGGACTGAGGAATGGACTGAGGAATGGACTGAGGAAGGGGAAGGAAGGAAGGAAGGAAAGAAGGAAGGAAGGAAGGAAGGAAGGAAGGAAGGAAGGAAGGAAGGAAGGAGTCAGTCAGAGAGTCCTTCAGACAACACTGTGACCAGACAGGTGAGGGAGGGATGGATGGAATGGGGAGGGAGCGAAGGATGGAGGGAGGGAGTCAGAGAGACCTACAGACAACACTGTGCCCAGGGAGGGAAGGGAGGGAGGAAGGAGGAGGAGGAGGGAGGGAGGAGGAGGAAGAGGAGGAGGAGGAGGAGGGAGAAGGAAGGAAGGAAAAGAAGGAGAAGGAAGGAAGGAGAGAGGAAAGAAGGAAGGAAGGAGGAGGGAGAGGAGGGATGGATCCTATATAAGAGGAAGAGAGAGGATATGGATATGGGAATAGCATGATGGAGAGATGACAGCGACATGAGAATGAGGGAGACAGACAGATGGCAGGAACAGACTTAAGAGAGAGTGTAGTGTAGTGTAGGGATATATCTTGTCTGGTCTGTTCAGATCCTGGACAGTCAGTTGGGTTCTACTAGTCAAACACAGTGTTTGCATCCCAAATAGCACTCTCTCGCCTATATAGGAAATAGGGTGCCATTTGGGACTCAGCCTTGGTCTCTACTGGTCAAACACAGACAGACAGACAGACAGACAGAGCCCCCCAGGCTTCCAGATCTGTCATGTGTGTCTGTCTGTCTGCCAGGGTCTCCCTGGATACCACCGCATAAGCTCCCATTCCACTGCCGTCAGCACTTTATCAGGAAGCAGAGCAGGCCTGTGATCTGTGTACATGCACACATACGCTCCTGCAGCCTTGTTTTGTAAGCTTTTCATGAGAAGCTGTGTTTGTGGTGGTGTCCGTTCGCAGGGTTGGAATTGGGTACGGAGCATTTTTACATGGTGACTTTCCCATTTCCACCCCTGTCTGTTTGCATGTGCACGCCTGTTGTAATGATGTATCTGCTATTATAGTTATGTCATATGTTTTTCCTAAAGGTGATTAGGTCATGTGGAATGCATTGTAATTTCACCCCTAAACCAGTCCTCCTAGTGATTCATTTTGACTGGGTGTTAACCTTTACTCTACCAGCATTATGGTGCGAGCTTGCCCTCAATGAGAAGTATACAAGAGGTATTTGAAGATGCATGAAGGTAGATTGTCCTGTTACGTGGATATCCACGTTTATCGAACAGTGAGCTTCATGGCTGAGCTTCATGAGATTCGTTCGTTCTCATTTTTAAATGTGTTTAATACACAGGAGGCTGCTGAGGAGAGAACGGCTCATAATTATGGCCGGAACGGAGCAAATGGAATGGCATCAAACACATGAAAATCATGTGTTTGACATATTTGATACCATTCCACTCCAGCCATTACCATGAGCCCGTTCTCCCCAATTAAGATGCTGTGGTTTAATAGGCTTGACAAGAGAAAGTGAAAGAGGGAAATTGTGCAAATGAACAAAGTTGTGGTGCATGCCTTTTCTGAAGGAAGAGCAGCATGTTTACATTGAGCAGATGGGAGAAGAATGGAGGAGAAAAAAAATGCTAGTAGGAAGCACTGGGAAAAAATATTGCAAACATTTAGTAGTGAATTGTAACTTCATCACCTCTTGTGCGCCGCACAACAGAGACTCGCCGATAGATATCGAACGCTATTGACTCACCAGCTCGCTTTCTCCCGTTGTGCTAATTACAAACAAACACGTGACTGGCTCAACTGTTCTGGGGAACTACGGTAAGCTTCGTAATGTAAAATAATGTGACAGGTGAGATGAAGAACGCGATCTGCTTTATCTCCTAACGTATTGCACAAGGTGACTGCAGGTATTTACTTAAAGTAGCTACAAATATTCACATTTATTTAAAAACTTCAAATAAATAGTTTTGAGGCTATTGAAAAACTATCCCGTGGCTTTTTTCAAGTACCCCGGTACAGACAGTATACATTTTTACATTTAGCAGACGCTCTTATCCAGAGCGACTTACAGTTAGTGAGTGCATACATTATTATTATTTTTTTTATTTTTATTTTTTCATACTGGCCCCCCGTGGGAATCGAACCCACAACCCTTGCGTTGCAAACGCCATGCTCTACCAACTGAGCTACATCCCTGCCGGCCATTCCCTCCCCTACCCTGGACGAATTGTGCGCCGCCCCATGGGTCTCCCGGTCGCGGCCGGCTACGACAGAGCCTGGATTCGAACCAGGATCTCTAGTGGCACAGCTAGCACTAGCGACACAGTGCCTTAGACCACTGCGCCACTCGGGAGACGTATACCGCCCATAACTAGTGTTTAACAACAGGCCTGAAGAGTTGTGCTGTCAGTGTTGTGTGTCCCTACTGGCACTGACAAGCTTGGCGTTGACATTGAAGTGTGGGAGGTGTTTATTTGTCCTCTCTCTTACACTCCCTCCCTCTACATTGGTCTCTTACTCTCAATTTCTTTCACTCTCTCTCCCCATTTCTGCCCCGTCTCTTTTTTATTCTCTTGCTCTCCCTCTCTTTCCATTCTCTGCCTCTCTCTCTCTCCCAGATGGCATCATGGGGCAGGCGTCACCAGAGGGGTTGTTCTCCAGACTCCAGACAGAGGGCGCCAGCACAGAGACGGAGTCAGAGGTGAGAGGCCACAATGGCGGACTACTCAGGCGGAAAATGAAACAGACAGATTATATTGTTGATGAGTATGGGGGTAATATCTATCTATCCTAAAACACAGGGCCAATGACGACAAAATGATCTACATATCTCTTACTCTATTCAACTCCGTACAGAGGACCAGCAGTTGGAATAAGACATAATAATAATAATAATTAATAATAATAGTAATAATAAATCATAACTTTGTTAGTTGCATTTTCAGACATTGTGAATAAAGTGAGGGTAGAAAGTAAGAGGCTGAGATTATCATTGAATACGGAATTTTGCTTGTCCATATTTACCCTCTTCCCTATCTCCCTTTTATTTAATTCTGGCTCTCTCTTTTTCCCCCTCTCTCCTTCAGTCTCTGGCAGATGAGTTTCTGGACGGCCAGCTGTCTCTGGACTCGTTCCTTGACCGTTTCCTCTCCCTCCGCTCCCTCGCTCACAAAAGACGAGTGCGGATAGAGAAACTGCAGGAGATCCTGCGCCAGAAGAAGGAGACCGCCGCGGACGACGCCTCCGCCGGCTCCATGGCATCACAAATGAGCGCCAATCAAGACCCAGCGACAACACAGTCATCGCCATGGAATCCTCATCAACAAACCCCTCAGCAACAACAACCGCAGCAGGATTCCAATCCCAACAACCACGCTAGTTTCCAAAACGGCCCCGGCTCCGCCCTACCTTACACCCTTTACCCCGTCTCCCCTCTTAACCCGACAGCCACCGCCGCAGCATCAGGCCCAGGCCCGTCCATTCCCCCAGGTCAATTTCCTCCCTACCCCAGCCCCGGCTCACCTTTCACCCCAGTGGCGGGCTACTCAGCCCGTCCTGCTTTTGGGCCTCCGGCCACTTCCTGCCCGTACCCCACCCAGCCCACGTTCCCTGGCGTCCCCGGCTCAGGGTCTGCGTTCGGGCAGTACAGCGCCCCCAACAGCGCCCCCTACCCCTCTGCGTACCCTTACAGCGGGGTTGGGGGGTATAGCTACCCCACAGGCCCCACTCTGCCCAACTCTCAGTCCCCCACAGGCAGGCCGCTGTACAGGCCCGGGTTTGGAGTGCCACAGCCCTACTCCTGAACCACCCTCTGCTCTCACCCGCTCCCTCGACACATTCTCCAGTCTCGCTCTCATTTCTCTCTCTCGCTCTTTTTTTCTCACTCTTTACATCTGTCTAACGCACACTACATATCTCACTTTCCTCCCTCTCTTGAGCTGCCTCCTCTCCTCCCCCCTCCCCTCCTGTCATTCTCAAGTGCATAACTGTCTCAGGACCTCCCCTTGTGTTCCAATGTGTTGTCAGAAACACTCTCCCATTGGCTGTCGGCCCCTTCACTCACCCCTCTCTCTCCTCCTATTGGCTGTTGGCCCTTTCACTCTTCTCCCTCCCTTTGTGGAATACTGAGCCAATCAACAAGACCTTGGCCACGTACGTTTCAGATAGAAATGGAGCTGACGTGACTCCTTATTCTACATGTCAGAGAGCCATGTTCTACATAAAATATGTCTACACATCATGTATTCCTTATCACTGGTTTCACCCTGTAGCACACGTTCCTTGTGGCACTGTGTTCGGTATATGCATTGGAATACATTTGACTCGTTCTAACACCCATATCATTCTACACCGGTGTCAGATTACATGTGTTGATCATATTAGTTCGTACACGATGTTAACTTAATACCCACCCGAACCAAAACGTTTTACAGGTGCAGTTCTGTTCAGGAATTATGTTGTTCTGTAAACTGTCTTTGTTGCTCTTCGTACTGGTTAGGAAGTACTTAAGAAGAAAAATCATATGAAATCATAGCAACTCTAGGATATGTCCATGTAATCATATTCATTATGATCTAAAAGGCTAAACTGATCCTATATCAGTACTCCTACTTTGAGAGGCTTTATGAATGCGGGCCCTGATCAATGGTCGTTTTGGAGACTTCAATAACCCTATCTTCTTTCTTATTCACCTGGCTTTGCATGTATGATGTTTGTATCTTAGCCAAATCTGGACATCTTTACAGGTGTAGGACCTTAATTTGACCTGTTTCTCTCAACAGGAAAATAATCCTGCATCAACAGGAAATTTGAATTATTGTGTGGGTTATAATTAATGGTGGTTTTTGTAGGGGTTGCTAAAGAAAATTGTCAGGGCAAATCAAGTCTGAAATTAAAATTTTTAGAAGCCTTTTTTCAACCTCGACTACACTAGTGGTCCTTTGTAGCTCAATTGGTAGAGCATGGCGCTTGTAACGCCAGGGTAGTGGGTTCGATCCCCGGGACCACCCATACGTAAAAATGTATGCACACATGATTGTAAGTCGCTTTGGATAAAAGTGTCTGCTAAATGGCATATTACATTTATATTATATTATACTACAAGTTTGCATTTCCTGTCCTGCAACAGCAGGGTGATCAAATTAAGATCCTACATCTGTATGTCCTTCAAGTTTAGCTTCCAAGTCCTTTCTTGACAGGATGTTTTGGTTGGTTGTTTAGGCATTGTGATGCCTATTGACAGTGATGTCATTGTTTACAGAATAATATCTGTATTGTCTGTTGAGGATCATGCCTGTTTCTCTTCTCTTTGGTCTCTCTGTTTTCTCTCGCTCCCACACTCTATCGCTTCACACTCCGTTTCATCTCCCCCCCCCCCCCCCGAGGCTCCCTTGGCGTTCAACTCATCTCTCATCATTCTCTCCTTCCTTCCTTCTCACCTCACTCTCTCCTCTCCATAATCTGCCTGTTGACATGAACTGATGCTTGACAATGATTACAATGAGGAAATAGTTTATTTATATAAGTTCACTTTCAATGAGAATATGTGATTTGTATAAATTATTAAAGAGATGTTATTGATAACGGGTGACATGACATTAAAACAAGGGACTAATAGATTGCACAACAAATGGAACCCTATTCGCTTAGGGCTCTGGTCCAAAGTAGTGCACTATATGGGGAAGTGGGTGCCATTTGGGACCCATCTGCAACCCTAATTAGTGGTTTTAAACAGAGCATTACTACATTGGTTGTCATTGTGCCCTATGAAGGCTTATGAAGGCATTATGAAGGTGTTATGAAGCTTCTATGTAGTTATGTAGCGCCTATGTAGGGCCTCTTCATCAGGTTAACTGGTTGTACTGACTGGTGTCTTACTGGTATTATCACACTAAAAGCATGTATGTCCCAAATAGCACCCTACCCTCTACAGAATGCACTACTTTTGACCAGAGCCCTATGGGCAGGGAATAGGGTTCCGTTTGGGACGCACACTTCCGTATTAATTGAAGAAAAGAGAAATCAGAAATTGTGTTTTAGAAGCACAAAGGAGATACGCAGCATTAATAAAGGGGAAATCAAAATACAAGCTTGGAGCTTGTTTTAAGTTTCTTATTATTTTTTGTGTGAATATTATTAAACACTGCACTTGATCTAAGAAAATCTATTTTCTTTTTTATCTTATCTTTTTTTAATTTCTCTCGTGGGGAGAAAATAAAATACCACGGAAACTGCCTGATGCGGAGTGAACGTTAGTTTTGACTGTTCTTACTCCAATTGCTTCAAGAACAATTCAAGTCGGATAGAACTTGATTGACTTGAATTGATTTGTTCTAAAAGGCGTGGGCTTTGCTTGTGTTGTCTACTTGTGTTGTGTTTTTCTCTTCTCTCAAACAGAGCTTACGATCAGGCCTTCCTTCCCACTTTCTGATTGTGATTATCTTTTTCTGATGTGGGCCGAGAAGACCGAACCAGGGAGATGACACAGAGACGAGAGAGAGAGCGCGACGGACCTCTGGGGGAAAGGAGGGCACTGAAATATTAGCTGACTTCAGTGGAGGAAAAACTCCCACCTAACCTATCAAATATTCATAAAAAGTGATTATTTTGATCAAGCACAATCAATTGTTGTTGAACGATTTCTGTATCCTAAAATGTATGTGAAGTCAATTAAAGTGTAGTAGTCACTAATCTACCATAATGTACAGTAGGTGTATGTAAGCTTAATTGTACATTTACTGATAGACAAACGGAGCACACACATAATTTCAAACCCATACTGTTACAGTACGATTTAGAAATTAGATTTTTTTTTAATGATAATTGTCAAACAACTAGGAGGAGGTGGTGGGGACGGCGGGATGGTCCGAGGTTGTTTTGAATATTCAGTCAAAGTATGGCGAGAAGTGTCTCATAGAGAGAGAAAGGAGGAGGAAGATAGTTTTTCACGGGGCTTTCTACACATCTACGGCTCGGTAAACCAGAGACTAAAGATGAGAGAAAACGAGAGCGATGGAGGGAGGGAGTGGAGGGGTGTGAACGAACAGAAAAGATGAGTAATGGTTGAATTAAGAGAAAATGAAACATTAAGTACAGTGCCTTCAGAAAGTATTCACAACCCATGACTTTTTCCACATTCTGTTGCGTTACAGCCTGAATTTGAAATTGATTACATTTAGATTTTTTTGTCACTGGCCTACACACAATACCCCATAATGTCACAATATAATTGTTTTTCTTTCTTTTTTTTAACAAATTAATAAAAAATGAAAAGCTGAAATTGTTGAGTCAAAGTAGTCAACCCCTTTGTTATGACAAGCCTAAAGTTCAGGGGTAAAAATGTGCTTATCAAGCCACATAAGTTGCATTGACTCACTCTGTGTGCAATAATAGTGTTTAACATGATTTTTGAATGACTACTTAATATCTGTACCCCACACATTCAATTATCGGTAAGGTCCCTCAGTCAAGCAGTGAATTTCAAACACAGATTCAACTACAAAGACCAGAGAGGTTTTCCAATGCCTCGCAAAGAAGGGCACCTATTGGTAGATGGGTTAAAATAAAAAGCAGACATTGAATATCCCATTGAGCATGGTGAAGTTATTAATTACACTTTGGATGGTGTATCAATACACCGAGTCACTACAAAGATACAGGCGTCCTTCCTAACTCAATTGCCAGAGAGGAAGGAAACCACCCAGGGATTTCACCATGAGGCCAATGGTGACTTTAAAACAGTTACAGAGTTTAATGGCTGTGAAAGGAGAAAACAGAAGATAGATAAACATTGTAGTTGCTCCACATTACTAACTTAATTGACAGAGTGAAAAGAAGGAAGCCTGTACAGAATACAAATATTTCAAAACATGCATCCTATTTGCAACAAGGCACTAAAGTAATACTGAAAAAAACAATGGCAAAGCAATTAACTTTTTGTCCTGAATACAAAGTGTTATGTTTGGGGCAAATTCAATACAACACATTACTGAGTATGACTCTTCATATTTTCAAGCATAGTGGTGGCTGCATCATGTTATGGGTATGCTTGTAATTGTTAAGGACTGGGGAACTTTTCAGGATAAAAAATAAAACGGAATGGAGCTAAGCACAGGCAAAATCCTAGAGGGAAACCCTGGTTTAGTCTGCTTTCCACCAGACACTGGGAGATTAATTCCCCTTTCAGCAGGACAATAACCTAAAACACAAGACCAAATCTACACTGGAGTTGCTTACCAAGAAGACAGATAATGTTCCTGTATGACCGAGTTACAGTTTTGACTTAATTCTACTTGAAAATCTATGGCAAGACCTGAAAATGGTTGTCTAGCAATTTTTAAAATAATGGGCAAATGTCGCACAATCAAGGTGTGGAAAGCTCTTAGAGACTTACCCAGAAAGACTCTCCGCTGTAATTGCTGCCAAAGGTGCTTTTACAAACTATTGACTCCGGGGTGTGAATACTTATGTAAATGGATTATTTCTGTATTTCATTTCCAATAAATTAGCAACAATTTCTAAAAACATTTTTTCACTTTGTCATTATCGGGTATTGTGTGTAGATGGCTGAGATAAATTAAAACATTTTAAAAAATCAATTTTGAATTTATGCTGTAACACAACAACATGTGGGGTATGAATACTTTCTGAAGGCACTGTAGGATAACGAACAATATAATAATAGTATGGTTATTAAATAGGATATTAAGTAATATAATATGGTCATTTAGCAAACACTTTAATCCACAGCTACTGTATTAAGTTACAGTTAAAGGGATGGCTGTACATAACAATATACACAAACTAACAACTGATTTATAATATCCCCCTTACATTTTCTAAATTCCCAAGCAATATATGATTCATACATAGTGTACAGGTACAGTGGGGAAAAAAAGTATTTAGTCAGCCACCAATTGTGCAAGTTCTCCCACTTAAAAAGATGAGAGAGGCCTGTAATTTTTATCATAGGGACACGTCAACTATGACAGACAAAATGAGGAAAAAAAATCCAGAAAATCACATTGTAGGATTTTTAATGAATTTATTTGCAAATTATGGTGGAAAATAAGTATTTGGTCAATAACAAAAGTTTCTCAATACTTTGTTATATACCCTTTATTAGCAATGACACAGGTCAAACGTTTTCTGTAAGTCTTCACAAGGTTTTCACACACTGTTGCTGGTATTTTGGCCCATTCCTCCATGCAGATCTCCTCTAGAGCAGTGATGTTTTGTGGCTGTCGCTGGACAACACAGACTTTCAACTCCCTCCAAAGATTTTTTATGGGGTTGAGATCTGGAGACTGGCTAGGCCACTCTAGGACCTTGAAATGCTTCTTACGAAGCCACTCCTTAGTTGCCCGGGCGGTGTGTTTGGGATCATTGTCATGCTGAAAGACCCAGCCACGTTTCATCTTCAATGCCCTTGCTGATGGAAGGAGGTTTTCACTCAAAATCTCACGATACATGGCCCCATTCATTCTTTCCTTTACACGGATCAGTCATCCTGGTCCCTTTGCAGAAAAACAGCCCCAAAGCATGATGTTTCCACCCCCATGCTTCACAGTAGGTATGGTGTTCTTTGGATGCAACTCAGCATTCTTTGTCCTCCAAACACAACGAGTTGAGTTTACACCAAAAAGTTATATTTTGGTTTCATCTGACCATATGGCATTCTCCCAATCCTCTTCTGGATCATCCAAATGCACTCTAGCAAACTTCAGACGGGCCTGGACATGTACTGGCTTAAGCAGGGGGACACGTCTGGCACTGCAGGATTTGAGTTCCTGGCGGCGTAGTGTGTTACAGATGGTAGGCTTTGTTACTTTGGTCCCAGCTCTCTGCAGGTCATTCACTAGGTCCCCCCGTGTGGTTCTGGGATTTTTGCTCACCGTTCTTGTGATCATTTTGACCCCACGGGGTGAGATCTTGCGTGGAGCCCCAGATCGAGGGAGATTATCAGTGGTCTTGTATGTCTTCCATTTCCTAATAATTGCTCCCACAGTTGATTTCTTCAAACCAAGCTGCGTACCTATTGCAGATTCAGTCTTCCCAGCCTGGTGCAGGTCTACAATTTTGTTTCTGGTGTCCTTTGACAGCTCTTTGGTCTTGGCCATAGTGGAGTTTGGAGTGTGACTGTTTGAGGTTGTGGACAGGTGTCTTTTATACTGATAACAAGTTCAAACAGGTGCCATTAATACAGGTAACAAGTGGAGGACAGAGGAGCCTCTTAAAGAAGAAGTTACAGGTCTGTGAGAGCCAGAAATCTTGCTTGTTTGTAGGTGACTAAATACTTATTTTCCACCATAATTTGCTAATAAATTCATAAAAAATCCTACAATGTGATTTTCAGGATTTTCTTTCTCAATTTGTCTTTCATAGTTGACGTGTACCTATGATGAAAATTACAGGCCTCTCTCATCTTTTTAAGTGGGAGAACTTGCACAATTGGTGGCTGACTAAATACTTTTTCCCCCCACTGTAACTGCCAAAGTAAAGGAAACACTTCAGTAAATGAGGGATACAAAGTATATTGAAAGCAGGTGCTTCCACACAGGATGGTTCCTGAGTTATTCTTTGTCACTTTAATAATGTTTACATATCTTGCATTACTCATCTCATATGTATATACTGTATTCTATACTATTCTACTGTATCTTAGTCCAAGCCGCTCTGACATCGCTCGACATCGCTCATTCATATATTTATATATTCTTAATTAATTCCTTACTTAGATTTGTGTGTATTGGGTATATGTTGTGAAATTGTTAGAGATTACTTGTTAGATATTACTGCACTGTTGGAGCTAGAAGCACAAGCATTTCGCTACACCCGCAATAACATCTGCTAAACATGCGTGACCAATAAAATGTGATTTGATTTGCTGCAAACAACTGGTGTGCCTGGCATTGGTGTGTACCATGACCTATTGGAGAACACATACACACAAGCGTGCAAACACACACACACACACACACGGGAGTGAAAACACACACACAGTCTAAATGTGAAAAAGAATCATTTTCCTTTCTGCCTCCCTCCCACTTGTCCTCCACTCTTCTCACTTCACTTCTTTCTTTTTTCTTTTCTTTTTGTACCTGTCTTTGAAGTGAGGAAGTGTGCAGACACTTTTGCAGAAAGAAAGCAGCAAATGCTTAAGATGAAGAGATGGATGGATAGAAACAGAGAGGGTGGGGAGAAAGGAGAGTTTACCCTTCTGCACCGTTTCCTCTCGCTTCAGTCTTTGTGTCGTTTTGGCATGCATTGTCTCTCTTCTCTTCTTCCCTCCCCTGTTATTCTCAACCTGTTCATCTCCAGAATGGATAAAAGGCTTGTACTTAGCATCCTGGCCCTGTGTGTAATGAATGTTGGTAAGTCTTTATTTAAATACAGTCTGGTGTTTTCTGTGAGTCCATTATGATACACAATGTTCTCATGTTCTGATATTCTATACTGACACTGGAAGTTGAACTTGAAGCAGCAGAATTGTAGTCATTGGCTGCATCCAAAAGGACTCCCTATACCCTATCAGAGATGGGCAGTATTTCTGTTACATGTATTTGAAATATGTATTTGAATTACTTCTGAGTATTTTAAAATGTGTATTACACTGGGCTAAACACTATTTTGTAACAAGATACTTTTGAGCGCTGTAATTTGCATTTTCAAAATACTTTTCTATAAAAAAAAATTTATAGCGGTTCACAATTTTGTGCCCCCCTTTCTCCCTGCATTGGTATCAGAAGTTTGATGGCACTATGGTGTAATAAGAGCATCTGCTAAATTAATTAAATATAAATGTATATGTAAAATTGTACAATTGCAAAGGATGCTGAGTATTATTCTAATGAAGCCCGCCCCGAAACAAGGCCATTAATAATACTCAGCGTGCTTTGCAGTTCATTTTGGTATGTTCATTTTCACATACGCATTTACATTTTGTTCATTTAGCAGACACTCTTATACAGAGTAACTTACAGTCAGTGCATTCAACTAAAGTAGATAAACAACAACATATCCAAGAAAAGAAAATTGTATTTGTCACATGCTTCGTAAACAAAAGGTGTAGACTAACAGTGAGATGCTTACTTACGGGTCCGTTTCCAACAATGCAGAGTTAAAGATTTAAGAAATATAAAAAATAATATATAAAGAGTGACATGAGGGATAAATACACAGTAAATAACAATCATGAGTAACAATAATATGGCTATATACAGGGAGTACCAGTACCGAGTCCATGTGCAGGGGTTCGAGATAATTGAGATACAGTGCATTTGGAAAGTATTCAGATCTCTTGACTTTTTCCAAATGTTGTTACGTTACAGCCTTATTCTAAAATGGATTAAATCGATTTTTTCCCCTCATTAATCTACACACAAGTATCACATTTACATAAGTATTCAGACCCTTTACGCAGTACTTTGATGAAGCACCTTTGGTAGCGATTACAGCCTCGAGTCTTCTTGGGTATGATGCTACAAGCTTGGCACACCTGTATTTGGGGAGTTTCTCCCATTCTTCCCATCCTCTCAAGCTCTTTCAGGTTGAATGGGGTCGCTGCACAGCTATTTTCAGGTCTCTCCAGAGATGTTAAATCGGGTTCAAGTCCGAGCTCTGCCTGGGCCTCTCAAGGACATTCAGAGACTTGTCCCGAAGCCACTCCTGCATTGTCTCGGTGGTGTGCTTAGGGTCGTTGTCCTGTTGGAAGGTGCCCTGAAGCAGGTTTTCATCAAGGATCTCTCTGTTCTTTGCTCCGTTCATCTTTCCCTCAATCCTGACTAGTCTCCCAGTCCCTGCCGCTGAAAAACATCCCCACAGCATGATGTTGCCACCACTATGCTTCACCGTAGGGATAGTGCCAGGTTTCCTCCAGACGTGACGCTTGGCATTCAGGCCAAAGAGTTCAATCTTGGTTTCATCAGATCAGAGAATGTTGTTTCTCATGGTCTGAGAGTCCTTTAGGTGCCTTTTGGCAAACTCCAAGCGGGCTGTCATGTGCCTTTTACTGAGGAGTGGCTTCCGTCTGCCCACTCTACCATAAAGGCCTGATTGGTGGAGCTGCAGAGATGGTTGTCCTTCTGGAAGGTTCTCCCATCTCCACAGAGGAACTCTGGAGCTCTGTCAAAGTCACCATTGGGTTCTTGGTCACCTCCCTGACCAAGGCCCTTCTCCCCCGATTGCTCAGTTTAGACGGGCGGCCAGCTCTATGAAGAGTCTTGGTGGTTCCAAACTTCTTACATTTAAGAATGATGGAGTCCACTGTGTTCTTGGGGAACTTCAATGCTGCAGAAAGGTTTTGGTACCCTTCCCCAGATCTGTGCCTCGACACAATCCTGTCTCGGCGATCTATGGACAATTCCTTCGACATCATGGCTTGGTTTTTGCTCTGACATGCACTGTCAACTGTGGGACCTTATATAGACAGGTGTGTGCCTTTCCAAATCATGTCCAATCAATTGAATTTACCACAGGTGGACTCCAATCAAGTTGTAAAAACATCTCAAGGATGATCAATGGAAACAGGATTTACCTGAGCTCAATTTCGAGTCTCATAGCAAATACTTTCTAAAAACCTGTTTTCACTTTGTCATTATGGAGTATTGTGTGTAGATTGATGAGGATTTGTATTTATTTAATCAATTTTAGAATAAGGCTGTAACGTAACAAAATGTGGAAAAAGGGAAATGGTCTGAATACTTTCCGAATGCACTGTAGTTATGTACATGTAGGTAGAGTGACTAGGCAACAGGATCACGATAATAGCACGTAAAACATTTCTGTAACTGTTACTGAGAATATTGTTGCTGTTCGGGCTGGCTACTTGCAAATGTATTTCTGTATTTTAAAATACAAAGTACATGTATTTTAATTAAATACGTTTCAAAATACAAGAATTTTGTCATTTATTTTGATACATTGATCTTTATGGTATTTTGTAATTGTATTTTGTAATTGTTGCCCATCCCTGTTCCCTATGGGCCCGGGTTAAAGCTAGTACACTATAAGGAATAGGATGCCATTTCTGAGACAACCCTATTTGTTGCTGTTGTGGTAGTAGTGTTAGTAGTGTTAGTAGTGTTAGTAGTGTTAGTAGTTAGTAGTAGTAGTAGTAGTAGTAGTAGTAGTTTTAGTAGTAGTAGTAGTAGTAGTAGTAGTAGTAGTAGTAGTAGTAGTAACTGGGGTAAACCTTTGAGTATCATCCATTGATCTGATAATTACCCTTATGACCTCATCTCTCAGTAGAGGGTGAGCATTTCTGTTTCCTTAATTTGTTGGATTAATTGATAGATTAGAGAGGGTTTAGTCTAATCCAGGGCAGTTTTAGTCCTCGCTGCAGGCGGCCAAACATTGAACATTAGTCTTTTGAAAAACTGCCATGGTGATTAGTGGCTACCGCATGACACGTAATATTGATATTTCTGAAAATCGAATCACATTTATTTTGTAAATATAGATTCCAAGATACCAATTTACTTTCTTTGCTGTTGTTTCCATGGTATGAAGCATTTTTCTCTCTCTATATCTCTCTTCATTATCTCTCTCGAATCTCTCAAGAGGGAGATCTCTCGATCTCTTCTCGATCAGATCATACGTATCCGTATCCTACGTCCTCTCGTCTCTCTCTCTCTCTCTCTCTCTCTCTCTCTCTCATGTAGTAAGCGAGACATCCATCTCCCAACATCTCACACCATCCAACTCCACTCCTGCTAACTCCAGTACTCCCGCTCCCACCACCTCATGTGTGTGTAATATCTCCACTGCCTGTGCCTCTCCAACCCAGCCCGAGTCTCCGCCACCTGCGCTGGGTGTTTTCAAGGTCAAATGGAAAGAGTCCTGTCAGGGGGACGTACGCCTGTCCCTCCTCTCGCCCCGTTCCTTACCACTCTGCTTTAACAGTAGGGACCATCTTAACCTTACACTGGGAGTGTTGTGTGAGAGGAAGGGCTGCGAGGGCTCCCCAATGTGGACTGAGATCCCTGCTAGCTCTACGGGTTACCAGCTCAGTGGGGATGGAAGGGTTACTAAAAACTCCTGTACAACACTGAGGATCCAGTGCGAAGGTGAGTACTGTATGTTTGTGCGTCCTATTTGCATATATTTCTCTAAGTGACTGACAGTGGGTTTAAATACCACATGCATACAAGTTCATGAATATCTTTGTAAGTACACTTTTTATATATTTTTGTACATTTTTTATAAGGTGCTGTTAAACAATAGCCTGATCTCATATCTGTTTAGGCTGTCTTGCCAAATGACCATATGAGTTGGTAAGACAGCACAAACAGATCTGGGACCAGCCTAGTAATATCATGGTTAAATTTGAATCTCATCTCCTCTCGACTCCAGTCGTCCCAGATCAGTTAGTGGGCTATAAGGTGGTGACTGGTCTCCTGTGTGTTCTGGTGCTGGTGGTGCTGATGGTGCGTTTCGGGCAGCCCTCCCTCAAGGCCCTCCGTAAGAGACGTGAGTCCCAGAGACCTGGGCCTGTATCTACAAAGTGTCTCAGAGTAGGAGTGCTGATCTAGGATCTGTCCATATACTCGTATTCGTTATGATCTAAAAGGCTAAACTGATCGTAGATCAGCACTCCTACTCTGAGATGTGGTGTGGTAACGGGCCCAGATCTAAACACTTAACATATGAACGCACATTTAAGATGAGAATAAAGTACTTAAATTACTGCAATTAAGTACTGAAAGTCCACAGTACTTAAGCCAATCCAATAGCATTTGATCAAATAATTTGTCACAAGGTCATTGCTGAAAAGAAAAGGATATTGATACCAGGGTCGGTATTGTGGCATGTGGCATTTATTTTATTCATATTTTGTCAGTTATGGATCAAGTATGGGATTTTGTCACAACTGTGTCATTGAGGCATGTTATCTTGGCGTTGTGTGTTGGTAATATAACATTCTAACATGACCTCTAATCAACATGTTAATGTCTGTGATTCAGTGTCAGACAAGAGACAGAGTCGGTGGGTTGGACCTACACAGAGTCAAAGTGGTGAGTCAATGACTCCTAGACACACACACACCCACCAGGCCAAGTTGCAGGCCTAAGTAGGAGAGACGTGGAATCGTTGAATAATGCATTGAGTTGATGAGTTCATGTTACACACACACAGATTTCGGTTGTTCTCTCTCAAATAAACATATTGCGGGGGAACTGAGTTATTGAAGAAAGAACAATATGGGAAAGAGGTGAGAGAAGAGAGTAGAAGGAGAAGCGATCATGAGAGGTGAGAGAGAGAGAGAGAGAGAGAGAGAGAGAGAGAGAGCGAGAGAGACGATGAATAAGGAGAGAGAGAGCGAGAGATGAAGATAGATGAGCGACGAGACGAGACGAGAGCTCTCAGTCTTCGATCCTCACTTCTCTCTCTCTCTCTCTCTCTCTCTCTCTCTCTCACACACACCCACAGTCTCCTACCATAGAGGGAAGGCTGGACTCCAACTTAACGACAACACAGACAAGAGACACTCCTACCCTGGTGAGGCACGCACACAAACTCACACACACACACACACACACACTCACACTCTTCTATTATTATTGGCGGAAGCCTAACCTGAGAATTGTGTGATTTACACAAACTTGGAATGACGCATGCATAGGTATCTCAAGCTAGTATTGGACCCTGAAGCGTTACATTTCCTCTTGTTCTCCCAGGGTTGGAGAGACTGACAGTGAACAACAGCCGAGAGCCGTCATCTAACAGAAACAGTGATTATGACTCTTATAACGTATGATCTTCATCATCATCATCCTCCAGCCACTATGACAAAATACTGTACATGTATTTTTTTATATTTTGCTATATTTTTTATGCTAAATTGTATATATTTTTACGCACATAATATCCTTTGTTTTCTACAGATGTAATTCAATAATTGACTTATTTTATTGAATAAACGTAAAGCTTGTTGTTGAATAAAACTTTTGTTCCTCAGACTGATAAGTGAACAGAATGTTGAAAGTGAGAGAAAGAAAGGTCATGAAAAGCAGGATAAGCGAAAGAGGGAGAGAAGGTAATGTTGTGAGAAAGAAAGGGGATAAAAAAAGATGTAAACTGGGTTATGTAGAGACGGGGGAAATGACGAGTGAGTGGTCGCACACACACACGCACTCACACACAAACTTCTGATTTCTGCAACGATGTGGCTTCCTGTACCATTGACACCAACATCCTGTTTCTGTTATTTCTGTCACACTTTCATTCCCTCATTCTCTCGTTCTAAATTTATGTTCATCTTACCACTGTGTCTCTTCACATCCTCGAACAACCTCCATCACCCTTTTGTGTTCTGCTTCTTCTTCCTCCATCCGTCATTCCTTTCTTCATAATCCCCCTCTTTTTCTCCATCTCCATCTTCCTGTCCTCTATTCATTTGGCTGTCGTGTCAACATTTTTCTAATTTATTTTCTCAAAGTAAGACTATTGTTGTGGAGGAGATTGTTCTTCCGCATCTTTTCACTTCTCTTTTGAGTTGAATGAAATAATGTTTTCTGTCTGGAATTGAAGTGGAGAAGATTGTGCCGACGCCATCTTATTGTAGAAAAACACTGTTTGGCAAACTGAGCCTCAGTCAGTCTTCCACGTGTGTGTGTGTGTGTGTGTGAGTCAAGAGGTCAAATACGGGGTGATTATATCTGTCCTGTTTCACACATGTACAAGTGTATAACCTGTAGTGGTGTGGTGAAATGGAAATGTATTTTGCATATCCCACTCCACACGAGACACCCTTGGAGAGTGGGGTCACGGCATGTGTGTGTGTGTGCGTGCGTGAGTCACACACACGATTTGGCATGGAAGACAACTATACATTGTGTGTGTGTGTGTGTACATGTGAGTGCATGCAGGGCAGTGTGTGACGTGTGTGTGTCTGTGAGCGAGAGTGTGTGGGCGTAGTTCTGTCTTCCTCTCTGTCAGGTCACGCTAGACTAGAGGATTACATCTTTCCCATCAGAGGAACAATGACAGATGACAACAGATTACGCACAGAGATTATCTCAGAAAGAGGGAGAGATGTGGAGTGAGAGGGTGAAAGAGGGGAGAGAGGGAAGAGAGAGAGGAGAGGATGGAGCGACAAAAGTATGATCAAGTGAACCGGCTGTAAATCTAGTCACTTTGACACATTAAGTGAGTGACTACATAAAATGCAACACGCATGATGCGCATTAACAGGCATACAGATATTAAAATAGCTCTCACTCTCAGATACAGATACACATGCAGCATGCACAAACTGAAATAACTGTACTCAGTGAAGTCCAGTCCATGTAAATAAAGATTATTAAGTTATTAAAATGTAATAATACCTCACCATCATTCATCTGATATGGCTCATTCTGATATTTCTTAATGTCTTGTTTTTGACTTCTTTTTCTGTATGATTATTTGTGTATTAGTATTGTACTGTTAGACACTTACTGCACTGCTGGAGCTAGAAACAGAAGCATTTCCTGGACCTGCTTTAAAATGGACTAATCTGTGTACGCGACAAAATCAAATTTGATTTGACCAAGATAATACACTTTTTTTTTTTTTACGGTAAGAAAAGAGAGACCGAGAGAAAAAGAGAAAGGAAGTTAGTGAAGTAAATGAAGAAGCTTGAGGACGCCAGGTAAAAGAAAGGGGGCAGAATGAAGAAGAGAAAAAGAGATGGAAGACGACTGGGAGGGTTTCCAGTTATACTAGTAATATGAGTGTAGGGAATGCTTTGTGAAATGGAATGCTATAGGTTTTACATTAATCCGTCCGTGTCGGGGACATGGGTCACGTCCCAAACGTCACCCTATTCTTTATATAGTGCACTGTGTAGGGAATAGGGTGCAATTTGGGGTGTAGACTTTGTCCCTAAGCTCCTTCTGTTGGCCTATTACTGGTGTATCACTGCACAGAAATGCAGTGAGAGGGATCAAAACTACCCAGAATTAAATGAATATTCCGCCTCTCTCGGAGTACTCTCAATCTCTCCATTTTTCTCGGTCTTGTTATCCTCCTCTCTCCCCCTTTAGTTTTGATCCATCCTCCTCTCATCTCAACATATTTCGAGCCAAATATTCAACACCCACCTACACTTTTGTTTGTGTGTACAGTATCTGTGTTCTGTAATGGCTGCCGTCAGATGATGATGTCTCAGGTATGATATCTCAGTGTGACATCATCATCAGACACCATTTTAACTGTTGTGGGGGAATGAGAGAAGTCACATGAAAATATGGAGCAGGGGGTGTTTATATGGTGCTGGGGAATGCTGGTAATACCATACTTAGAGAGGTGGGGGAGAGAGAGAGAGTGGTGGGGGAGAGAGTGGTGGGGGGAGAGAGAGAGTGGTGGGGAGAGAGAGAGAGTGGGGGGGGAGAGAGAGAGAGCAGGGGGACAAACACCTACCTGGAGGTGACAGCATTCCCTCCCCCATATGCCCCCCTAGGCACAACTACGACAACATAACCAACAAAAACAGGTCACAACACAAACGGGTGCAGCTCTGTCACTCACTGGGTATGTACATAGTCAATGGTAGGCTTCGAGGGGACTCCTATGGTAGGTACACCCATAGCTCATCTCTTGGCAGTAGTACTGTAGACTACTTTATCACTGACCTCAACCCAGAGTCTCTCAGAGTGTTCACAGTCAGCCCACTGACACCACTATCAGACCACAGAAAAATCACAGTCTACTTGAACAGAGCAATACTCAATCATGAGGCATCAAAGCCAAAGGAACTGAATAATATTAAGAAATGCTATAGATGGAAGGAAAGTAGTGTCGAAACCTACCAAAAAACTATTAGGCAACAACAAATTAAATCCCTTTTAGACAACTTCCTGGACAAAACGTTCTACTGTAATAGTGAAGGTGTGAACTTGGCAGTAGAAAACCTAAACAGTATATTTGACCTCTCAGTTTCCCTATCAAATCTTAAAATCTCTAACAGAAAACCTAAGAAAAGTAACAACAGTGACAAATGGTTTGATGAAGAATGCAAAAACCTAAGAAAGAAATTGAGAAACCTATCCAACCAAAAACATAGAGACCCAGAAAACCTGAGCCTACGCCTTCACTATGGTGAATCACTAAAACAATACAGAAATACATTACGGAAAAAGAAGGAACAGCATGTCAGAAATCAGCTCAATGTAATTGAAGAATCCATAGACTCTAACCACTTCTGGGAAAATTTGAAAAAACTAAAGAAACAACAACATGAAGAGCTATCTATCCAAAATGGGGATGTATGGGTAAACCACTTCTCCAATCTTTTTGGCCCTATAACAAAGAACAAACAGCAAAAAATATATACATGATCAAATGCCAATCTTAGAATCAACTATTAAAGACTACCAGAACCCACTGGATTCTCCAATTACATTGAATGAACTACAGGACAAAATACAAACCCTCCAACCCAAAAAGGCCTGTGGTGTTGATGGTATCATCAATGAAATGATCAAATATACAGACCACAAATGCCAATTGACTATACTTAAACTCTTTAACATCATCCTTAGCTCTGGCATCTTCCCCAGTATTTGGAACCAAGGACTGATCACCCCAATCCACAAAAGTGGAGACAAAGTTGACCCCAATAACTACCGTGGGATATGCGTCAACAGCAACCTTGGGAAAATCCTCTGCATTATCATTAACAGCAGACTAGTTCATTTCCTCAGTGAAAACAATGTACTGAGCAAATGTCAAATTGGCTTTTTACTAAATGACCGTACGACAGACCACGTATTCACCCTGCACACCCTAATTGACAAACAAACAAACCAAAACAAAGGCAAAGTCTTGCCAGGACCACAAATACAAATTCCATCTAGACACCGTTGCCCTAGAGCACACAAAAAACGATGCATACCTCGGCTTAAACATCAGCGCCACAGGTAACTTCCACAAAGCTGTGAATGATCTGCGAGACAAGGCAAGAAGGGCCTTCTATGCCATCAACAGGAACATAAAATTTGACATACCAATTAGGATCTGGCTAAAAATACTTTAATCAGTTATAGAACCCATTGCCCTTTATGGTTGTGAGGTCTGGGGTCTGCTCACCAACCAAGAATTCACAAAATGGGACAAACACCAAATTGAGACTCTGCATGCAAAAATATCCTCTGTGTACAACGAAAAACACCAAATAATGCATGCAGAGCATAATTAGGCCGATACCTGCTAATTATCAAAATCCAGAAAATATGTAAAATTCTATAACCACTTAAAAGGAAGCGATTCCCAAACCTTCCATAACAAAGCCATCATCTACAGAGAGATTAACAGAGCCCCAGGACAACAACAACAACACAATTAGACCCAACCAAATCATGAGAAAACCAAAAGAGAATTATTTGACACATTGGAAAGAATTAACAAAAAAACAGAGCAAACTAGAAAGCTATTTGGCCCTAAACAGAGAGAACACAGTGGTAGAATACCTGACCACTGTGACTCACCCAAACTTAAGGAAAGCTTTGACTATGTACAGACTCAGTGAGCATAGCCTTGCTATTGTGAAAGGCTGCCGTAGGCAGACCTGGCTCTCAAGAGAAGACAGGCTATGTGCACACTGCCCACATAATGAGGTGGAAACTGAGCGGCACTTCCTAACCTCATGCCAAATGTATGACCATATTAGAGACACATTTCCCTCAGATTACAGAGATCCACAAAGATTTCGAAAACAAACCCAATTTTGATAAACTCCCTTATCTACTGGGTGAAAAACCACAGTGTGCCATCACAGCAGCAACATTAGTGACCTGTTGCCACAAGAAAAGGGCAACCAGTGAAGAACAAACACCATTGTAAATACAACCCATATTCATGTTTATTTATTTTCCCATTTGTACTTTAACTATTTGCTCATTGTT